CTTCTTGGAAATGGATGTCAAAGGTAGAGAATATATTCGAATTGAAAAAGGGAAAAATTATAATCGTACCCTGTATTTTAACAAAATTAACTACTTTATTCTTGTATTTTTTTAAAATACATCACTATATTCTCATGTTTTTAGTCCGTTGTACACCATTCTTCTTCTTGTCTATTTTATACATTTTCAGATGTTAAATTGCTATGAAATCATTTCAATGACCTTAATTAAATGATAAAATCAATTTTGTTCTGAAATCATTTTTTGTCTTGTCAGAATATCACTGGTGCTGCTGCCAATGGTGAGAGAAAAATCGAATTATTTTAGAATCTTTTAATCTAACTACCAAAATGATTAGAATATTATGGGAAACTCAACTTTTACATCTATTTTTCTTTTTGATCACCGATCAAAATTGATATTAAGAAATTCTTAAACTCTAAAACTTTTAGTGAAACAACCCGAATTTTTATTTTCAAAAAATTTTCTAATTAAATTTAATAAACCGACAGCTTGGAAATTTATTTTAATATTTTAATGTGAACTCTGTGGAAAACCGAACCAAAAATCGATTGAAAAACTTGTAAACCAATTGGAAACCGAAGATTTGGGCCGAACCGAACCGAACCGAACCGGTTCGACCCAAACCATCTAGAATTTTCTTTTCTTTCTATTTCTAGATTGGAAGGTGAGCCGACACCGAACCGAACCGAACCGGTCGACCCACCATCTAGAATTTTCGTTTTCTTTCTATTCTACGCGCACTCACTGCTCCTTCCCCACATTTGTTTTTTTTCTGCAGCTGTTGCGCGGAGGTCTCCGGCGACACCTGATCTCCGCCACCTTTCTTTCCTTTTCTTTCTCTTTCTTCTTCTTCTTCTCTTCTTGCTTTCCTTTTCTTTTTCTTTCTTTTCTTTCTTCCTTTCTTCTTCCCTGCACCTGCATTCGCACCACTGTCCAGCAGCTCCAGCAGCTCCAGTCGAGCGCCACTGCCGTTCTCACTGCCGCTCGTCACTGGAGCAGCTCTGTCGCTCGTTCCACCTTGTCCTAGCTCGCGCAGCGCCATAGATCGCACAGTCAGGCCCTCTGTCAGGTCTGGCGCGCCCATAGCAGAAGCTCCAGCTGCAAGTCTCGCTGCCAGCCGCCTCTCTTCGCCTCTCTCCGCCTCTCTCCGCCACTGCTAGTTAGATCCGGCCACAAGCAGTTGCTGCCCTTCAACCCGGCAACTCCCATTCTAGCACCGGCAAACTCCCATTCTAGCCCATTCGACAACAACTTATAATTTGGGGTATAATTAATTTAAATATCATTTGTAGTTAATTCGATTAATTTTATTCATTGATAGTTAATTAAAGTTAGTTATTTTAGTTGTTTTTAATGTTTTAAAATTAGTTTAATCTAGTTAATTTGTTAGTAATATTTAGTTAATTAAATTAATTTTAATTATTTGTAGTTAATTTAAATTTAGTTAATGTTAGTTAATGAATTGAATTTTATGAATTGTAGATTAATGAGTTAGTTAAGTTTAGTTAAGTTTATGGTTAGTAAATATTAGTAATTAAAGTTAATTTTATTTAATTTGAAGTTAATTAATTTAGTAATATTAGTGTATGAATAATTAATTTTATAACTTGTAGTCAATTAGTTTTACGTTTAATAGTTATATGTTAGTAATTGCTATTAATTAATTAATTTTATTAATTTTGTAGGTAAGTAATTTGGTTAATTTAATTGATAAATTGTTGAAGTAGTTAACAGTGTTTTATAATTTTAGTATTGATTTAATTAAAGTAGTTTAAATATAATGTTATTGTAATGTATAATTTGGATTGTGTGGTGATGTTGAGATTGGAGGAGAATGGGAAAATGTTGTTTGATTAATTGCCCGACGGATGGGCCGTATGGATTGAATATTTGTGAAATTATTGATATTTTAATAGGTAGATAGTCAAATTTTTAAGGGAGATGATGCCGAAATTTCGGTAGAAAAATAAAAATAAATTTGGTATAAAAATAAAATAAATTTCGGTAGAAGAAAATAAATAAACTAGAGTTAGATAAAATAAAATAAAAGTTTTGGAAATATTTGATAAATTGTTGATATTTTAGCAGGTGGATAGTCCAATTTTTAGGGGAGGTGCTGCCGAAATTTCGGCAGAAATTAAATTATTTATAGGAATCAAATATGTAGATAATTTATTAGAGCGATTCTTGTATTTCCTATTGTCTGATGTAGTCATTTTTTTTCGTATGCTATTCTTAAATTCTTTAGATCGCTCGAATCCATCTAGTGCTCCTCCCGGACAGAACCAAAGCTAGAGCCTCGTTCTCCACCACTATGAGTAATAATAAATAATGCATATCAACATGCATTTGTATAGCATTTTTTTTTTTACAAACCTTATATATATATATTTTTTTATATTAAAGCTCATATTTATTTTGTTGCATAATTGTATATTTGGATGATATTGATGTATTTGGTGTAGACAATCTGAAAAAGATGTTTGAGATAATTTGTGTGGTGCATATATGTGATTGTTTTGTGTGAAATGGGATGGAAAGTGGGTCACCATGGGATCTGTGAGTACCGTACCGTTATATGGATTCGCAAAGTATGAATTACTGTTAGTCCGGGTAGTGGGAAGTCGCGCCCCCGTGTGCACCTACTGCTATGGATCTGGTGTGATATGGAAAACCACAGGTTGTTTTTCTTATTGGCGCACACTCTGATAACTAGATGTGATCTGCAGCCCGCAGGGTGGCCTCCTGTTTGTGAGCGCCTGATGATGCTAAGATTTGATGGAGAACGACCGGATTAAAACCTCCTGTTTGGTATGAAGTAAAGAAAAGAGAGAATGGAAAGACAATGAGAGTGTGCGTCAAATGAGGAATTAGACCGGTCGCCAGTATGGGGGAATCGGCCCCTGGTGCCACATTTGAGAGTGATGAGTCCATGTGGGAATGAACGGCTCACTCGGGGGGTTCGGTGAACTCACCTGAAATTTTCCACTGTGATGTGATTATTTGAAATGGTGATATTATTTTGTGGTGTGCTGATGTAATGTCATATTGGTTGACTGTTGTGTGTTCAATTCATATATCTTAGGTGCATTTTGCTTGACGTAAATGGGTGTTGTATTATTTAATTATTATTCACTGAGTTGCTAAAACCACCCCCTTTCTCTCTCAAACCTCTCCAGGTACTTAGGAAGCGAGCTGATCGACTGAAGCTCTGAAACTTCTTCCGCAAGAGTTAATAAATAAATGTAAATTTTATATTTTTTGTTATTTAACTTTGGATGTCTATTATCTATTATCAAATTATATTGAACTCCCGCAGTTATAGGGTCGTGGTATTTCAATCGGCTTTGGTCGTATACTGTTATTGTTGTAACGACTTGTTATATTATTAGATCAGTGGCAATTAGATATAAAACCATATTATGAATATGACTATCATGATTAGCCCAAACATAATCTTAATTAAGATATCTTAAAATTGGGCGATTGTAAATATTATTATTTTATATCCTAGCTGTATGGCTTCTGTTCCTTGTTAAATGGTGTGCATGTTTTTAAGTGGAAGGTAAGTTTAGGCTTACTACGGGCCCGGGGCGCTTAAGCTTAACCTGGACCTAGTGCCCGGTGCCGGTCCCCACGGAAACGGGTCGGTGGACATTTAGAGAAAGAAAAAACATGTTACTATTTCTATCGTAATTGAAATCATAAGTCATTATTATCTCAACAAACAAAGAATATAAGAGATTCTATTCTTATAGGTTAATCTCCTCTCTTCTTCTTATCTCAATAACAATAAGGAAGAATAATGATTTCTATTACTATATTAATCTCCTCTTCTTCTTCTTATTCTTTTTCTTATTTTAGAGAGATAAACTAGAAAGAGAAATTGTATAATTGCTATTATTCTTGTTGTTTGCTCATTAATTCATGCACAACAGTTTTATTTAGTAAAAAGCTATAACAAATTGTTGCAACACAAGCAATTCAGCTCTTAGAATACAAATAGAACTTGTCAAACTTACATTGTCTACAGATCTAAACTCCTTTATATATTGTCGTTTTTATTTCTACCTTTATGAGCTTTGACCCATCTCAAATTTCTGCAAAAAATGAATGTTTGTGAAATAAAAATCCATCAAGAGATTCTTAGATGTAGATAGTAGTGATAACGGAGGGAGAGAAAGTGTTATAGAGATAGAGAAGCCCTAAGCCATGGAGAGAGTTTTGAAAATGTTTACAAGAAGAGAGAGAGAGGGGAAGAAGAGGGTGTTTTGGTGAAAAAAGACTTTCTTTGAAAGAGTAGAAAAAGGACAGCCCGGGGCACTGGGTGAAAAAAGAATCTCAAACCTAAAAATATAATAGTGTATTTTAAAAAATATAAGAGTAGGGTAATTAATTTTAATAAAATATAAGAGTACGATTATAATTTTCTTTTGCAATTACCTTGTTGCTCATAAGCTTCGAGACTAGCAGTGGCACACTTTATTATTTTTACGTATTTTCCTCATGGTTGACATTAAATTCTGAAAATATGTAGTTTTTATAATTTAAATATTTTTGTATTATTAGAGATTATAAAATTTTAACTTTTTTTTTAAGTATTAGTATAGATTGAATATTTAAGTCAATTTCCCACTTTCTTTTGTTTTTTTTTTTTTTCCACTGGATAATTCAGGCATTATGCTTTACTCAGAGACAACAAGGTATAACTTCCATACAATTTTGGTTATAACACAGAATTTTGGTTACAACCATGTAAACCACAAGCTGCGAGTCCAGGGAAAAGAAGTTGTCCTTGTAATATAGTTTTAAGCTCCATTTGAATGTCATGTGAATTATAGAAATCATATAAAAAAGAAACTAATATAATATCAAATCCTAAATACTCAAACCATTTCAGACAACTAAGTATTCATATGACACTTTAAATAAAACTTACAGTAAAATAAGATGAACAGAGAAAGACAAGGTTTAGATGTCGATAAAAGTCCATAAACTGGGTCTTCTAGCATTGTAATTATTGGCATCAAAACGTGTAAAAATAAAACTCTACGAAATCTCAGAATCATAAACTTCAACTTCAATAGCATTAAGTTCCTAACTAGCTACGTGGGAAGGAATGAAACGCATTGGGTGTAAAATAAACAGTCTAATTGTGAAATTAGCGAATGGATGCACTGATAATTGTTATATGTACGAATGCTAAGAAATTTCTGGTCGGTATAACATCTAATAATGTATAACACTATCTCTCAGCAGGCAGGAACGCAATTTGAGTGGCCATAATATGTGCAAAGATGCAGTTTCACCTGTAAATTATCTACAAATTTCTTTCAATATGACAATGCTGTATGTCTTCAACTGTCAGTGGATGTTAGATAGGGCGGACATACCCTCTTCTTGAGCTTGGCATAGGGTCATCAGTCGAAGTACCCAAACAGTCGATCTAGATAGGGCGGAAATCCCCTCTTCCAGAGCTTGGCATAGGGTCATCTGTCGAAGTACCCAAACAGTCAGATCGATGTAAATCAATGTGTGAGAAAAAAATCATCTTCTAACAGAAGGTAGCAATTGCAAATGATCTAATCAGAATTACATGCTGTACATTATTTTCCAGTGAAACAATTAAAATTAAGACTATCATGTCTTTGGGAAGCTCTCTTAAGGGGCTCCCATTAACAAAAGTCTTGACCATTTTTTTCCCTCCAATCCCTATGTATGTTCACTTCTCTCTGAAATTGAAAATGAATGCAATTCTTAGAATGAGGTTCCATTTTTAATTTGATTCACAAGGAATCCAAAATTTTTTAGATATTTCTATGTTTGGAGAACTTTAATTCATACTAACATGATAATATATTTTTAAGTATTATTCTTAATCTAATAAAATAATTTTATTTACTTCAAAAACTTGGAAGTATTCTTTCAGCTTAGACATCCATTCATTCTCATTTCAATTCCAAGATAAACCAAACAAGCGATAAGGGTATCTTGTTTGAGCACCAATGGTGCCATTTAGGCTCCTTGGGGTTCCTTCTGCAGCTAAATTTTGGATCTAGAACAGCAACAATTGCCAGAAATTCGACATCTTTTTTATCTTACTTGTTAAGTGTTATATTGGTGGATATTCTATGGCAGCCATTTGGTTCTAGTATTCTAGAATCCTATATCTTGCCAAAAGTAGAAAATCCCTCTCCATCAAGTAGTCTGCAACAAAATGTATCTTTTATCTATTGTTTATAATCACTTGCTCAAATTCACTGGCAGATTCTTCATTTTGCAACTTATGCCCTTTAGAATTAAGAAAAAAACTACTTGAGATTTTGCATAAGCAGCTTTTGGGGGTTGGTGGATTAGAATGAATAAGGACTGGCTTTGACTTTGATTTAGAAGAGATTTGAGAAAGAGGAATGAATTGGGGAATTTACATATTTAAGAGGTTCAAAAATTTTGGACTACAGTTTAAGACTTGGTATGCAGTTTCTTCCTTTTAATTGATTTATTGGTCGCTAGATTTGCTAGTTAGTCAAATAAGTCAAAAGAACAGCTAATCATTTACAAGGGGCTTGAACATGAAGCCATGTATATGGAAATTGGAAAAGAAAGAAGGAGGCCAATACTGATCAGTTCTGAAGCATCTGCATTGGATAGGCCTTGATGTAGACATTGAGAAGCTCTAAGGAATAATTCGATTAAGAACTAGAGATGCTTAAAATGATGGCCCAGATGTCTTTAGGAGTCTTTATTTTCATCTTAGGCTCTTAATCTATGTCCTTATTGACAAACTTGCTGTATTTCAATAGAATTTTGATAGAAATTTTGCTTGTCCATTCTCCCAAGCAAGTTGGGTTTAAATAGGCTGAAGTATCCACAAATTTGGGTATAAATTCCTAAATTACAGCCCTAATTGATGCCCATTGTCTCCTAATTATGGCTGCCAATTACACTAATCATGGCTGCCGAATTACAGCTTAATTGGGGTTCTTAATTGATGCCTAATTTGTCTCCTAATTTGAGGCCCATTGTCTCCTAATTATGGTTGACATTTACCGCCTAATTAGATCCCTATATATGTCTCTCTCTTAATTGATCCTAATTGATAGTTATTTACAGCTATCTTACAACAGTATAGTCAATTAAGTACAATAGTATACTAACATCACTAACATCCCCCCTCAAATTGATGCTGGGCGATCAAAAAGCATCAATTTGCCAACGAGAAATTGATGACGCTGTCGTGTCAAAGATTTGGTGAATACATCAGCAATTTGAAGAGTAGTGGAGACATGTGGAAGAGAAATGACACCTGTATCGACGGCCTCTCGAATAAAATGACAATCGACTTCGATATGTTTGGTACGTTCATGAAAAACTGGATTTGTAGCAATTTGTATGGCACTAGTGTTGTCAGCATGCAGAGGAGTAGAATGAGGCTGAGGAAATCCAATTTTAGCAAGTAACCCACACCAAAACAATCTACTGAGCAAGCAGCGGAATAGCCCAATTTCAGGACTCAGTAGAAGATTTTGAAACACGGTCTTGTTCTTACTTTTTCCAGATATCAAAGAATCGCTAAGAACAATAACACCAACCCAGTTATAGAGCGTTCGAGTGTTCTGGACAACCGGCCCAATCAGCATCCACTATAAAGCAACAAGGCGTGCGGGAGAGCCAAGTAAGAAAGAATAAACCCCGAGAAGATTTGCCAAAAATGATAGCGAATGAGTCGACGGAACTGCCACAGATGTAAGGACGCGGAAGTTACTCAGAATTGACGACTTGCTGTACTGCAAAAGAAATATTGGCCGTGTAAATAGTCAATAATGCAAAACTGCAACTAATTGCCGATAAAGGATGGATCAGGAAGAAGATCTTCTTTTGACTATGTACTTACGTTTAATTCCAAAGGAGTATCAACTGGGGATGAATCTTGAAGGCCTGCTAAAGTAATCAAATCCTTAGTATATTTTTGTTGATGTAAAAATATTCCAGAACAATCATAGTGAACTTCCAGCCCTAAGAAATATGTAAGTGGACCAAGATCCTTCATATTAAAAGAAGTTTGAAGAGATTGTTGAAGATGGAGGATCGTTGATGTGTTAGTGCCAGTGATAATAATATCATCTACATAAACAAGGAGTAGAACAAAACCAGCAGAAATCTTATGAAGGAACAAAGAGGAGTCATATTTACTTTGCACAAAGGAAAACTGAAGTAAGGTAGACCGAAACTTGTCAAACCAGGCACGTGGAGCTTGTTTGGAGCTTGTTTAGGCCCATACAAAGAACCTTTTAACTACACACATGTGTGAAGATGAGCGAAGTCAAAACCAGTGGAGTGTCATATAAATATCTTCTTTAAGATCACCATGAAGAAAAGCATTTTTGACATCCATTTGATGAAGAGGGCCAACCCTGGAAAGCACAACTGCAATAATAGTATCGACAATAGTCTATTTTTTGCAACTGGAAGCAAAGGTTCTCCTCATAGTCCACTCCGTACTTTTGCTTATTGCGCAAGAGCAACCAATCGAGCTTTATACGATCCAAAGTTCCAGTCAAAACGAAGCTTGGGACTGAATAAACCCATTTACATCCAATGGGTCTTAACATTGGTGTGGAGGGCAAGGAAAATTTCCATGTATGATTGTCTGAAGGAGCTTGAAGTTCGTCCGCATGGCTTTTTTGGCAACATCTTTCTTGGAGCTTGTAGTAACAAGACGGAATAGAAATATTCAGATAAAGTTGCAGAAAGCCAGCAGGATTATTAGAAAAACCATACCGTCTTGGAGTCGAGATACTCTGGTAGATCGGACGCAGGAGTAGATTCAGGAGAAATCAGACATAGATGAGGGATCAGTCTCGGGAAGAGGGCCACCGTTGAGTTGACGTCTTTCATACACAAAATCCAGGCTTAAACCGATTAGGAACAATTGGTAAATCCTCGAAAATTGGAAAGAATGGGAGAATTAGAAGAAGACTTAAAGCAAGATTAGGAAAGAAATAATTGATGCTCAAGTTAAAAATACATTTCAAGAAAACAACGAAATTTGTTTAGAAGTTGGAATCATAGCAAAACCCTTTTGAGAAGAATTATAACCCATAAACGCACATTTAACTGATTGAGCTGAAAGTTTATGACGTTCATGAGAAGGTAGATGAACAAAACAAACAGAACCAAATGTGTGTAAATCATGATAATTAGGATATTGATGATACAGACGAAACTATGGGGAGTCAAGATTTAATACCCGAGAAGGCATTCTATTAATTAGATAAGTTGCAGTAGATAAGGCTTCAACCCAAAACTTAGATGGAACTGAAGATCCAATTAACAAAGTTTGGGTTACATCCAAAAGATGACGATTTTTAGGCTCAGCAACTACATTTTGTTGTGGTGTATTTGTGGTGTATAAGGACAAGAACGTTGTGAGAGAATCCCTTGCTCACGAAGAAAATTCTGAAATTCATGAGACATATATTCTCCCCCAGAATCAGATCGTAATATTTTAATACAAGTAGAAAACTGAGTCTTAACATAGGCCAAAAAGGTCTTGAAAACAGAATATACATCAAATTTAGAATGAAGGAAGTATACCCATGTATATCTACTGTAATCATCAATAAATGTCACAAAGTACTTGTATTGAGCATGAGAAATAACGGGTGTAATGCCCCAGACATCACTATGAATTATATCAAAACATTGGATAGCACGACTACCATTAGAAGGAAAAGGAAGAGTTTTGCTTTTACCAAGTCTACATAAGTCTACATGTGGAACAATCGAAAGGAACCTTAGCAAGGAGTTCTTTATTGCCCAAGAAACCAAAATTTGATAAATGAGACAAAATAACAAGATTAGGATGACCTAAACGTCCATGCCATAGTTCACTCTGACTAATAACTGTAGTACAAAATGAAGATATACGAAGAATGGAAAATAGTAGTGGAAATAGTCTCCCAACTTTAGGCCCCTTCGCGATTACTGTCCCCGATGCCTGATCCTGCAGAAGACAACCATTACTAGAGAAATGCACATCATAATTGTTATCTACAACTTGAACCAACCGAAAGAAGCTAGTTGAGAGCTTTTGGAGATTATAAAAAACATAGTTGTTGAACATGGTCTAAGATCTCCGAATTCAGTACTAAGATCTCCAATCTCAGTAATAGGTATTGTACTACCATTTGCAATCTGAATTTCAGTTGAACCATGATATTTGCGAACATTGGTAAGCATGCTAGATGTGTTTGTCATATGATTTGAGGCAGCAAAATCAACAAGCCAAAGTTGAGAGGAGAAGGTATTCTTACCTTGTAGTCCTAAGGCGGAGAAGGCTGAAATAATCATTTGTTGCACCATTTCTGGAGTAAGAATCACAGGTTCAGCAGCTGAAGAGGGAGTTGTAGAAACTGTTGGAGCAGCAAAAATGAGTGAGATTATTTGGTGCAATTGGGGCAGCATTCGTCGGTTTTGAGGCCGTGTTGGACACTCCTTTATGACATGTCCTGACTGTTTGCAATAATTGCAAAACTTCTTTGCACAATTGGCAGCAATATGGCCATAATTTTTGCAGTTATAACATTGAATTCTACTCATGTCCCGACCCTTTCCTCTTCCTTAGGCAGCAAAAGCAACCTTGACAGTATTTCTTGTTGGAGAGAGTTTTGAATGAGAAGACGTTGTTTTTCGCGAAGTAATTCACCAAAACAAATATCTAAAGAAGGTGAAGGAACACGACTCATTAAATTTGAGCGAAGTGTCTCAAATTCAGACCTCAACTTCATTACTCTTTTGCTTTGCTCATGAATTTCTTGAAGTATAGAGAGAGATTCTGCAGGCACTTTAGCATAAATAGTGTCGGTAAACTCGGCCCATAAATTCTGAAAACCAGAATAATATTCCTGAATGGAGAGATTTCCTTGGGAAAAATTAGCAGTATCACTCTCCAATTGAAAACGTCTTGCAGCATTGTCTTGATGGTAGACCTTTTTTAAGTAATCCCACATGGCTTTTGCAGTTTTAGAAGACCTCAGATTAGAAGCAATAAGAGGGTCAACTGACACCCTAGAATCCATGTCATTACTCTTGCATCTCTAACTTTCCAATGAAGCAACTCCTTAGCATCTTTAGGAGCTGGATCACTTCCATCTATATGGCCCAATAGTTCTTTTCCTGTAACAAAGAGCTGAAACTGAAATTCCCATAGAGTAATTTTTTCGGTGGAACGGATGAAACGAACATGAAAACTCTCAACTGCATTTGAAGTTGCCATCTCAAATAGCACAAGGAGACCAGAAATGCAAAAGTAGCAATAACAAAACTAGGAACTGGTCTATGAGAAGAAGCAGCAAACCCACCAAGATGAAAATCCTACAAGCAGAAAGTTGCAGGATAGAAATATGTCCACCAAAATCTCTTCCAAACGAAGAGAACCTCCAAATAGAAATTCAGAATTTCTATGACCGAGAGTTCATCAAGATATGAACTAAACAAAGAAAGCAGAAACAGAAACTGCAGAATTAGAGACAGCAGAATCTGCACTTTGTTCTTCAAAAAACAAAGCTGAAACTCATAAAAAAAAGAACAGCTCTAAAATTGCCTAATAGGCTCTATACCAGTGACAAACGTTGCTGTATTTCAATAGAATTTTGATAGAAATTTTTGCTTGTCCATCTCCCCAAGCTTGGTTGGTTTAAATAGGCTAAAGTATCCACAAATCTGGATATAAATTCCTAAATTACCAGCCCTAATTGATGCCTATTGTTCCCTAATTATGGCTGCCATATTACAGCCTTAATTGGCTTTCCTAATTGATTGCCTAATTTGTCTCCTAATTGATGCCCATTGTCCTCCTAATTATGGTTGACATTTACACCTTTTAATTAGCTCCCTAATGGTGATGCCTAAATTGTCTCCTAATTGATTTAGTTATTTACAGCTATCTTACACAGTATAGTCCCTAATTGATGCCTAAATTGTCTCCTAATTGATAGTTATTTACAGCTATCTTACAACAGTATAGTCAATTAAGTACAATAGTATACTAACATCACTGACACTTATTGCCTTGGCATAATATCATTTCTTTAAGTTTTCTTTGGGAAAACAATTTCTTAGAGGACTAGGACAGGTTTTGAAGTCCATTATCTATCTTAGAAGTTCACAAGTAGTTCAATTTTGTATACGACCATGCTTCTATTGTTCACAGGTACAGTTCACTATCCCTAATTTATCTGCAAACAACCCCTAAAAACTGTTCTCTTCTACCATTTTACCACCTAGCTACTCTTGGTTAAAATACTTCTGGTGGTTTTAACAAAGTTCCTACTCATTCTAGCTATCACACTGGCCCAAATCAAGCTTAAATAATCAACCAAGCAAGCTGCTCAGCGCCGGTCAACCACCTACATTTATTCAAAATTTGTTCAACTGTAACCCCAAAATGCAAGGGCAAAGTAATTGATCCATCAATAACTATATTTAGTGCTATAAGTGCTACTATATCTCTGCATAAAATCCCCTAGCAGCAATGTACAAGACAAATTTTCATCAGCAGACTGCAGAAACCATATCTTAATCAAGAACTGTTAGCAACTCTTACCGAAATCTTCTTCTTCATCTCCATTTTGACTTGTGAAGAAAGGGGTGAGGTAATTCCTATCTAATGCTGTGAATGATGCCGCACTGCATATGGGGGAAAAATGCTGAAGCTAAAAAAAAAAAAAAAGAAAAAAAAGGAAGGAAAGCCAAAGTTGCATGAAGATAAATTTTCAGATTTTACCTCCTGTGGAACTCTTTAAGCTTCATCCTCAACCTGTTCCCTGATGCTGAATCCTCATCATAAGAGGGAGCAATGTAACCATTATTCCCCTCAAAACTCTGAAACAGATAACAGTGACTTGGTGAATAACATGGTTGTAGCAGGTGTCCTAATTCAACTATTTGACCTTATCAAACTGAGCAATTTATAGACACAGTGGACTGAATGAAGGTAAGGCAGGAGCTGAGATTGCTGCATGATAATGAGTCTAGCATGAGAGCATTTCACGTCCAGAACCACACATATTCTTGTGCGCACAATTGCTCGCAACACCTTCATTGACCTTGAGGAAAATCTTAACAAATGATGCAAAAAACTTTAAAAAATTCCATATTCCCGAATGGAAGCAATTCAAATATCATAAAACTAATCCTTCAAAAGGTGCAAATGAGGAACAAACAGTGCATGAATGATGTGGCTAAGACCATACTGCCTCATATCAGGTAGTTTAACAACCAGAGTTTGGTGTCTTAGTTGGCCATGCTGACTGAAGCTAGAGCATAAGCAAGTGGAGACTTGCTTTTTCTTTTGTTTTTTTTAAAAAAAAAAGTGCTGGAAATTAATAATGATTGTCAAGGCGCTAAATCCCATGAAGATAAGAATCAACGTATGATTCACCAGAACATTAAGTTTTTAGGTGAGGACGTGCTGACTAGCTAAACACGAAATCCTCTCTCCTATCCTGATAGTCATGATTTATAAGCTACTTGACTTAATGAGAAGCAGTAGCATTTTATTCTAGCAAAATAAAATTGCATAGTATAATTGTTGAAGTTGAGCACAGGGATCATACTGCCCCTCTCCTCCTCCAGAAATAATTAAATAAGTGCAGAAATTATCAAAAATGTGATCCATAAAAAAGAGGAGGATGAAAGAAATTTTTACCTTGTTGCTTCCTTTGGTTCATTGAATAGAACAGGAATGAATAATCATTTCATGTCAAATAGCTATTCTCAACTACTGTTCAAAATTTTAAATGTGGAATAAGTGTTCCGTGAAAGAGAAAAAGCTATTCCAAATCTAAAATTTCAGTTGAAATTTTTCGTGTGCAATCATTATTATTAAACAAAAACACATTTTACAAATTTGTGGGATATAAAATTAATATAATTAATCTATTGCCATGGAATAATTATTCATTTCCTACTGTTCCATTCCATGAACCAAATGAAGCATTTTTTCTACAAATAGATATATGTTTTAGCAGAATTAAAACAGGCAGGTATAAGAGGGAAATTATTGTTAGCAGACATTACTTCACCCACGGGCCCAGCAAATTCATGTCCATCTCCAATGACTTGCAAGGCTTCCAACATGGTACCAGTTGAACCTCCAATTAACAGCACCTGAATTATTGTTTAAAATGTTAGAAGTAAAAAGAATAGTTTGAGTGGCATTACTAACTCACATACAGGGAATGATTGGAAAATTAAGCATCAGGTTTCAAGCAAGTCTGACACAGGTTTTAAATCTGTGCAACTCAAAGCAGGGCAATATTTTGAACAACCATACCAGATAGCAGCCATTTTCCACTCAAAGTGTGCATGAAAAAACAAATTTAGTTTTTTTGAGAACAACTCATGAATTTTCATAAATGGTAGTCAATAATTTCTCTTAAATTAAAACTTCATCAATTCTAAACATCAATAATAGTATTGCAATTGTATTGTACTATAAGAGCATATCAACCACATGTTAAATACAATTGTATATATGTACAACACATGCCCAAAGGTGCATCCGTGCATGTATCTATAGTTCGTAGTGGGTAGGAATCTATACTCAATTGATGATCCCCAACCTAGAATCATCTTCAGCTTTACCAATTCAAGTTGGTTCAATTGGAAATCAAGCTGCTATTGGCCTAATAATACTATCAGAAATTGCACCATGTCCACATTCTACATACTCAAATATAAGATCTTTGATAAAATGCTTTAGTTTAAGGAAAAGAGTAATTGTGCCTACCGTCAACACAACTATAGCAGTGGTTGCAGTGAATATAGTCTGGCCATGTCCTTCTGGAAGATCATGAATTGATTGCAAAGCAAGGGCAAAGGCCATAGCCCCTCGAAGTCCTACTCATACCAATAACAAATTCGAATTTAACGATATCAAAGAAAGTAAGGGTTCTCATCAGATTTGTGATTGCTATTCTTACCGCTGTACCAAAGTGCTTTCTGGTGATTTAAAGGTATTTTACGATGAGCAGGTCGAACCAAATTGACCAAATATGCACAAGAAAAGATATTTGCTGCCCTGCAAAGATTTATTGCCTAACTTGATTACTAGTTTCAGGATACAAGATAGTATAACATGATTTGGCAAACATCAAAATGAAAAAAATTAGGTCTCGAGTTGGAAAATTAACAAGCTAAAAATAATGAACATTCTAACCTTGCAACTCCAATAAATATCTGTGATAGTCATAATGCAGGTTAAGGAGTAACAACTGTATCTCTCACATTAAAATGGTTATATTTAACAAACATAAAGCAAGGATACAATTGAGAAAAAGATAAATCCAACGTGAGACCAGCTATGTTGTTCCATTGCAATATCAAACCCCATGTATATAAATCTGAAATTGGACATACAAGTCAGTAGCAGATTGGCTACCACATACTTAGAAGCAATTTAATCACTCAATGAGAATAAAATATTCCCTTACACAAATGTTTCAGCTAGCGACGATATTAGATGAAAAAACGCAGAAACAAATCGCTGAGATTTTTCTGACAAATTTGAGTAGGTATAGTGTTTCATGACCTAAAATACGTCATTTACCATATCAGTGTTCCATCAGTAGTAGGTGATCTATACAATCAAAATTTCACAAATTTGCCTACCATTCCTGTGAACAAGATCGACACAATACCAGAGAGGCTAAGACCTTCAGCAAGCATGTACCTAAAAAAATGAAAAAAGTTTCCAATTATATGAACCATAGATCTTCCAGATTTGGGAAAAAAGCAATACCGAATGTAAAAGTAGTCCAGGAGGGATAGCTTACGAAAAATATGGAAATAGAACGAAAAGGCAACACTCCAAATTCTGAAGGCTGAAAAGACAACAACATATATATTATATTTAGGATCACTACACTTCAAAAATCATCAGAAGTTTGGTGCACAAAAAGAGAGAGAGAGATGCAACTACTCACTTGTCAATATCCAAACCAGCATACTTGAAAAGGTTCTCAGAGTTAAGGCTTCAAAACACATTTCAACGTGATAGATCTCTAAGTAAAGCATATAAGAATGATAATGAAAGAATGAAAAAAAAAAAAAAAAAAGAATAGATCTCTAAGTAAAGCATATAAGAATGATAATGGAAAGAATGAAAAAAAAAAAAAAAAAAAAAAGGATTATTTTCAATGCAGAAGTAAAACCCAACTCCCACACCTGTCAACATATTTCAGGAATTGTCAAGTCATCTTAAAAAAAAAAAAAAAAAAAAGGATATCAATGCAGAAGTAAAACCAACTCCCACACCTGTACAACAATATTTCAGGAATTGTCAAGTCATCTTGAATAGGACACAGAACCTATCAAGTGGAATTGATAGTAAAATCTAAGAAAATAAGGATTGATATCAAACTAATGAAAAATCAGTCACTGAAAGGTCGGATCCCTCACTGTCTCTCACTCACTCAAGTACATATACGCATGCAAAATTAAAAATAAAAATAAAAACCTACATAAGGTGAAACAAAAGTTAGATTATAGTTTCCTTTGTGTCTAAAAGGGGATATTGAGTTCCTTTAAGTAGTGTTACCGTTGCATAACTGAATAAGTTGCTTGTAAGCAACTATACCAAAACCAGGTTTTTCTCTTGGTAGGTCATTAAGAAATGTGTTTGTTTCTAACATACCCATTTCACTTTTAATTGCAGAAATCTAGTTCAAATACAGCTCAAAGTGAAAATGGTTCACTTCTAACAAAATTATATGATGAAGATCCAGCAAAAACTCAATCAAGCAATCACCAATCTATATGGGAGAATTATGAAAATTTTAAGTTCAAAAGGACTCACCACTAAAGTTGTCTTCTGGTGTTGTCATCTTATAAAGTTTATGGCTAATCTTAGGTTCCAAAGTTTTAAAATTTGAGAATACCACAGAAATTTCTCATCTTAAAATTGAAGTCGGATAGAAGCACAGTAACGAAGTTAGATCATATCTACACATTAAACAACCTTCAGTAACAAGAAAAAGATAATCCTAGTGTCCCAGAAAAAAAAAGAAAAGAAAAATATGCAATCTCCCTAACATATAACATAACAAGAAAAATCACAAAGCATGAATAGTTCCTCATTAGGCACTAATAGAACTGGAAAAATAAGAATCCAATAAATTTTAGTTAAGCTTGAATTACAGGGAAACAAAACCTAAATTAACTAAATAACATAGGAAACAATTTTATAACAGTAATAGGTTTATAGACCCGTAAATCAAAAATAAAATGGAATAATATGTTCTTCCAGATAAGTTGCATTATCAACTGATTTGTAAACTCATCCTTTCAAAAATGATATTATTCATTTGATACTGACACCAAAATATGTCTTGAATAATCCTTCCTCTTTCTCAAGTTATTGTTCTTTATATAAATAATTTTTACCCCATTCTTTCACTCTACTAAAACTAATTTCCAGACCATTAACAGTCACCAAGGAGTCAAAAACCTTCAATGATGTCAAACCTAGAAGATGCTTTAAAAGTTTATTCCAAGCACATATCCTGGTCAATTCAGGTAATAGAATGAACCAGTATTGTTTTGCCAGGCTAATAAAGATGTTGAAGCACAAAATTATCAAGACAATACAACTTTTCTCCACAACATCAACCCATAAGCCTGGCCATTTTGATTAAACTTAGCAAAATATAAAATATAAATAATCGTGGAAATATGTGTAAAGTAATTAGCTGCAGGAACGGAAAAGAGATTGCCAAGACTGACCAGCTGACATAGAGCCAACAAATGTCTCAAGAAATCTCACAATCAACATGAAGAAATTTGATCCAGATGGTGCATGGCTTTTTACTAAGGACATTGTCCTGCATACCAGACAACGCTTGATTCAAAACTGAATGTTAATCATATTGTATATTTGAGATCTAGTGCAGGAATTACATACCTATACAAGGAAATTGCCATCTGACAATTTTGAAACCACAAAACAAAAAAATCAGCCAGTGAATTAAGTCTTAATTCAAAACAATGAAAAATGCACTTATCAAAAACAATGAAACAACAAAAAGCAACTGAGGCTTACCGCATCATTCAAGACAGATTCTCCAAACACCAAAGCATAAAGGTTCATATCTGTGCCAAGTTCCTGGAATTATGTACACCATACAAACGTTATAAATAGATAAGCACAAAAGAGAAGGCACTAGCTAAAAAATTATATCCATAATCGCTCACAGCATTCAGCATGCAGTTGAAGTGAAAATTTTTATTCATATGAATTGAGCATCTCACTCTTTTTATCTGCCTATTTCCTGTCTAATGCACAAATGCTGCAATCAACTTCCTATGTTGGAACCTCCATGCATAGACAGTATAGAGATCAATTATGTGGTTTTGGCCCCTAGCCACGCAAGAATAACTTGTGCACCAACATGCATGCAGAATCATATTGGATATAAACGTTCAAAAACTTCAAGCCCTAAACTCAACCAAACATAACCACGACTAATTACAGTCATTTTTTGTTGTATATTATCCATTACAATTTCAACCATGTGTTTTATTTACTAAGGGTTTGTGCCACTTCCATGAGAATGCAATCCCTCTTCCTTACTAGCACATTAAAACATTTTGTCACAATTGGCTTAACCATCTGGCCATGCTCACCTCCATTATTTTTCAAATGTGTTCAGTCCATATCTGGTCCCTCCTTGCTACTTCCAGCTACTTAGCAGCAGATCAACCATGCTCACTTTATGGTGTAAAGTATAGATGCACTGAAGGGCTAAGGCCTAATCAACATCCTACAAAATTTTCCTAACTGGATATGTACTTCACAATAATGCAAAAAAAAATACTGTTCACTCTGGATATGTACTTCACAGTAATGCAAAAAAAAAAAAATGTTCATTTATTTCCATAAAAGATTACAAGATTAACTTCCTCCAGAATCTCTTGATAAAAGATGACTATTGGGAGGCATTGTCCTGCCATTTATTTTCTGTATTAGTCCTACATAGCTAAAAACTTTTGGAAAGACGGAATTGAATAATGTTTTGTTGAAGAAGACTGATCAAGCAAGAGAGGAATGGACAGGCTTACAACCAAAATTACTGGATTTCTTTGTTCTTAATTTGCTTTTAGTCATCTTTCCATCATTGGCTTGTTTTCGAGTTTTAGAGACAGAGGGGATAGTATAAAGGAGTTAAGTAAGGAAGAAAATAGAGGGATAGATAAATATGGGTTTAACTTATTACCAATAAAAAAAAGCAGAGAATATAATTGATAAAATTTAAAGGATTGGATAAAACTGATGATTCATGTCAAAGGTATAGTTCCTTTTAGTCATTTGGCCTAGAAAAACAAAAGTAGAGGTGGAAGAAGAAAGTTAATATTAGAAATGGCAGGAGATGAACACTGTTGTATGTCAGGTATGCCAAGAATGCATCATTTTATTATCCCCGTGTCTGTATTTTTCAGAGGATTATTTTCTATATCCGTTCACTTGTTGCGATAATGACTTCATCACAACCTACTTCCATTTTCTGCAAAATGTGCGGATGCTTTAGCTAATCTATGCAACAAATAGAAAGAACTCCAAAACACCTGGAATATGGATAAAACAGTCACGGGATCTGTTGCTGATATTAGAGCACCAAACATAAGACATTCAACAAATGGAAGTCTGTACATCAGGTACATGACACCGCCAAGGTAACTGAACAAGGAAGCAATTGAAAAAAAGTTAGCAAAAGAAAAAATCTAATGCCTACAAAACAGCTATTTGAAAAATGTAGAAATACTTACACCAGAACACCTGTAACAACGGAAGCTATAAAGGTTCCAAAGATAGCAAAGGTAACAATGGCTCCAAAGTTGGAAAAGAATGGTTTCTATAAAAGAATAACAACCAAACAAGTCATTAAGTAGAAAATTACATAAAGCATCTAATTTTCCAATAGTATACTAAATGGAGAAGAAAAAGGACATTACTTACAGGTGATAAACTGAACCCTGACTCAGTATAAAAGCTAATGTCAAGGAAACTAAAATGTATATAAACAATTTAACATTTTTATATATTAATGTAAAGGAAACAGAAAAATAAATAAATAACTGAAATGAACACAAAAGTTTGGATATAATATAATAGGAGGTAGCAGAAACAAGAAGAAAAACTCCTCATGGAAATTAAACCATGTCCTGCAAGCCAAAAAAACAGAAAAAAATTCCCGATGATAAGTATACATAAAAAATGCTTAAGTAATTATATTTAGGGGGAAAAGGAAGGAAGAAGTAGAAGAACCTGATGTTATTTTCAGTATTTGAGATGTTAGCGAGTCCACCTACAATTAGACCTGGAAAGAGAGACCAATTTTCAGAAATCATAAGACAAAAGCTAAACCCTAAAACTCCCATTACTGTTCTGATTAAAAGAAAAAAAAGAAAAAAAAAAAAAAAAAAAAAAAACCCTAAAACTCCCATTACTGTTCTGATTAAAAGAAAAAAAAAAAAAAAAAAAAAAAAAAAAAAAAAAAAAGAAAGAAGGAAACCAGTAAATTACCGATAAGAAGAGAAGCGCTGGCTTCAGGTAGATAATAAAATTTATGGCGACGAAGAACGTGGCCAAGGACGAAGGAGAGAACAAGCATCATGATCTGAAGGAGTATTCCAACTCCGGCTGCTTGTTGCTCTTTTCCGGGATGCAAATCGCCGGACGGCGATATTTGCAAGTCGTCCACAGAAACCACGCCCATTTCTGTTTTTCTCTGTTCTAGAATACGGATGAACGATTATTATGTATCCCCCTAATAGTAATACTAAAAGATCATCGTCACGCCAGCTTTTCTTTCTTTCTTTCTTTCTTTCTTCTTCTGCTGCTGCTGTCCCTGCTTCTTCTTTTTCTTTCTTTCTTTCTTTTTAAAGTGTGCAAATGAGAAGTCAGACCCACAATTGGTACTCTAAAGTCATTTTTTTTTTTTTTTTTGAAAAGTATATTATTAACAGGAAATAAGGGGCATAAGTGCTCTATTCTTGCTGCCCGATTAACTTGTCGCAATATGTAATTCAAAATTTAATTTTTATATAGTTATACACCAAATTATCAAAGCTCCATATAAAATTTAATACTTCCTCCGTAACCTAGTTCACTTTTTTATTTTCACACAGGAATTAAAAATAATAATTTATTATAGTTAAAAAAAATAATTTTATTATATAAGTTTTTATTATATTTCATCTTAAAATAAACACATGAGTAATATATGATTTAAATTTAATATTATTATATTTAAATAATAAGTAAGAATTGATAAAAATTATTGAAAATAAAATAAAATTTAATAAAGATATAATAGACAGTTTAAAAATTAACTATAATACAAAAAGTAAAATGAACTATTTTTTCGAACAAATCAAAAAGGATATTATTGTTAAGTATTTTAATATTCTTAACTAATAAAAACTATTTAATTTAAGAACAGAAATCTAAAAAACATTTTTTAGACTAATAAATTTTATTAATTAAGAACACTAATATTATTGTTTTATTTTTTTGACAAAGAGGAAATACCATTGATTAACAAGTTTCATGAAGTATAATTTTCTCAATACAAGCCATAATTAAGAGCCTCTCGTAATATTATTGTTCCTCTAGTACGATTTTATTTTTTTCAATGTTATTGTTTTGTTTTATTTTTTATAAAAATTACCTTTTTGATGCTTTTGGTGTAAATTAAGAGGTAAAATGTAAAAAAAATTTAATTTACGGCTAAAATTATATATTTCATCAAGTTTAGAGGATGAAATAAATATTATTCCTCAAAATAATATACAACTATACATAAATGAGCATTATAAACGTTTTGAAACAATTAAAAATCCACTGTATTTTTTTTTAGATATAATAATTCATATTCACCAAGATCTTTGAGGCTATTAGTTTAACTATTATAACTTTTTTTTTTTTTTGGGTATTATTTACTATAATTCTATAATGCTTATGAAATATTGGATGGATGATCATTAGGACTTAATTTACATTTACATGTGATCTTGGATTAGTGTATTTGATTCGAGTTTTTCCATTTTAATTATTTCTGTTTATTGATATTCTTCACGAAGAAAACTCAATGTCTCCAAGGTATATTTCTTCATTTTAAGTAAATTATTTCTAATTAATAAGATAAAAAACTTAAATTTTTTTAATTTATTCTATGTTTTTGTAAAGTGATTTATTAGTAATTTGATATTTGATACTTTATTCGATTTTTATATTTTATGTCCGTGAAAAGACAATGGTGTCATCCATATAGGAAGGTATGAAAAATAATTTTAATAATTTTAATAATTACTTCATCAAAGTTTTAGAGATTAAAAAATATAGCATGCATAAAGAATTTTGAATAAAACTTTTATTGATATTCAAATAATAAATATAATTACTTTCTTTCTTTTTAACTTTGTTACCATGCTTAATTTTTATAGTTTTACAATTAAAATTCAAATTAAAAATATCTATTTCAAATTTAGATCCAGAAACTACCTAAATTATTATGAAAAAAAATATTAATTTGACTTTTAAAATCATTCTTATTATATTATATTTGGATTAAAAAATTAAATGAATAATTTTTAAAATTTCAAATGGTCATTAATTTATGACTAATTATAAGGGTTAATTATTATTAATAATAAAAAAAATTTCATACAAAATTATAATTGAAAACTTTTTAAGTAATCCAATAATTATGATTATCGAGTAATAAATTACTCATTTTGTAGCATAATTAGTAATAATGTATATATTTATCATATTGTGCTTCTAGAAAATTTAAGTTGTTTTATCATATCGTGGAATTTCTCTAGTTTGAATGTGTGTATATATTGAAAGAACCCGAAATTTTATTTTCAAAGTTTTTCTTTTAAAACTTTAAATATCAATTTTAACAAATAATATTGTATGGTATTATTTTATTTAAAGTAATAATACCTTATGAATTTATTTAATATAAATGCATTTTATATTGCTAAGCCAAACTTCTAAACCAATTCAAATCTATTGAAAAATCTCTAAACCATGTGGAAAACCCAACAAGCCCATGATTTAAACCAAACCCAATAGACGAGACCTCCCACCTCGTCGCAAGCTCTTCTCCGCCCGCCATCCTCGTTTTTTCGGTCCAGTAACGACACAGCAGTAAGTTGAATGAGAAGCTATGTTTTTCCGATCACTTGACTGGAATATGTAATCTCCGACATGTTTTATAGTTGGGTAAGGTGAATTTCGACACTAGTCGGTATATTTCTTCAATTCTATGGAACTAAATTGAAGGATTTGCTCATAAATATATATATATTTTTTTTTATGGAGGAATTGAATCTTAGCTACTGTTTATGTGAACATTATTAGGAATTTCACTTTTTGCTCTTTAAATTGGTATATAAACTGAATTCTTATATAAAAATGGTTAGATTATTGCTTCTATTACAATCTTTATGAATAATAAAGGACTCCTTGGATTGACAGTAGTTAGTTAGCCATATACTTAAAGTTCTTGATATCGAAGGAAATCTTGAATTTTAATCATTTCAAATGAGCTATAGACTGAAATTATATAAGAAAATGTATAGGTTAGTGTGTTTGCTGCAAATTCTATATAATAAATTAGAACAATTTTAAAATGACAGCAACTATTTTTCATTATTTCTATAAATCATTGCTTTGATATGGATTATAGGAGGTTAAGAATCTAAGTTTTGATGGGAAATGACTTAAATTTGTGCATATAAATATAAGTTTAAGTTAAGGAGAACCTATTGCATTCAGTGGGCAGTAGCTATTGCAGATAATCGGAGCCATTTTTATATGAACTAACATAGAAATGGATATATCCTCAATATTTTTGTGTTGGATACCGTTGGTTATTGCTTAATAGCTTCAATCTTGTTAGGTAACGATTCGATTGTAAACTTGTTTAACTATAATCTAGAAATCGTATTTTCGTGGCAAGATGGAGGAAATTTAGGAAGCTTTAGTTATATGCTGAAGTTGTGAGTTGGATTACCTAGTAGAAGTATTTATTAAATTGTAATTTAATTGAAGCATTGGTTCTTAGTGACTAGTTTAGAATTTTAGTAAATGTTTAAAGACCTAGTAGAAGTATTTATTAAATTGTAATTTAATTGAAGCATTGGTTCTTAGTGACTAGTTTAGAATTTTAGTAAATGTTTAAAGAGGTTGTTTATACCTTAAACAAGGATGATGAAATAAAGGCTTGATAAGGAGTTCTATAATAGTTAAAAGCTAACTAACTTAATGGTATAACTTTTGTTTATATATAAATGCATAAAAGATTTCAGTTAGTTGTCAATTAGCTAAAGAAACTGATTATATTTATGTGAAGCAAAGAATTGTAACATCCTATTGAATCGAATCGTTGCATATACATGAATCGAGTCGGGTCGAACTAGAAACCGGTTAACGCCAGAGTGGAGTAAAATGGGATGTACCATAAATAAGTAAAAGAAGTGGACTTACTTGAATGAAACAAAAAGATCAAAGTATAAGGAGTAGGACTTACTTGGACTACCCCTCTTATGTATCGATCGTTTACCTCGTCCGTAGCCGATGTGGGATTCGCCTAAGGTGATGTGGCGATTCGCTCTAACGGTGTGCCCTCTGATTGTCCAGCGGATGTCAGCCATTCACCCCCCTAAAGGGACTCAGCGTTCCTCCGCTGGGTTTGTCACCCACACCACCAGCCAAGGAGGCACGAGGCCGGCTCTGTACCAATTGTCATAGCCCTACCCTTGGTTAGAGACTACCCCTCTTATGGTATCGATCGTTTACTCGTCCTAGCCGATGTGGATTGCACTAAGGGTGATGCCCCCTTGATGTCCAGGATGTCACCAAGACATTGATTGCATAATTATATTAGAACATGCCCCCTAAGGGACTCAGCGTCCTCGCTGAGGTTTGCCCCACCACCAGCCAGAGGGCACGAGGCCGGCTCTGATACCAATTGTCATAGCCCTACCCTTGGTTAGAGACTACCCCTCTTATGTATCGATCGTTTACCTCGTCCGTAGCCGATGTGGGATTTGCCTAAGGTGATGCCCCCTGATGTCCAGGATGTCACAAGAATGATTGATAATATTATTAGAACATGTTGAAGGTTATTATAAATTGTGAATTAATGGTTGAATGTTGACATTGTTGTTTTGGAAGGAGGATGAGAATTTAATTTGTTTGGTCCCCCGATGGATGGGGCTGTGTGTGTGTGATGATTGATAAATATTTATTATTATTATTATTTAAGCATGTGAATAGTCCTAGTTTGAGGGGAGGTGTTGCTGAAATTTCGATAGAATTTATGCTAGTTATATTTAATGATTAAGTTAATAGATTTATTTAGAATAATTATTTAACTTGATATATTTAAAATAGAGTTTTTTATTCAATTCAATTCTCTCCTCTCCTTCGAATTCCATTTCGTTTCAATCGCTCTAATTTGTTCACTACTTCAACAAGTTGGAATCCAAAATTAGAGTCTTTTCTCATCTAGTATTGTAAGTAATAATAAATAGTATATATACCATATGCATCATACATAAACTCATTACTATACAACGCTTCGTCTTTATTTGTTTATTTATTTATTTATTTGTTTATTTATTTTTCAAGTATCAATTATTATATTATTAGTGTGTAATTCTTATATTTTTTTGTATTTATATATGAAAATCTATTTGTGCATTTGAATGATAATGTATAATTATTTAATATGCTTGCATTTAATTGCATTATTTGATTATTTGTGTTGTGACATTGATTGGCCTTATTTGTGTGGAATTGGGTGAAGTAGGTCACCATGGGGTTTGTGAGGACGGTCTTTGATACCGTTAGCTATGTATGGGGAGAGCAGTTCTCCTGTGTGCATATGATGATATGGATTATATAGAAAACCACATGATGACCTCTTGTTGGTAATGGAAAAGAAATGAGAGGGCTGGTCAAGTGAAGATTAGACCAGTCGGCTATGTATGGAGGATCGGCTCCCTAATGCATACGTTTGAGAGGGCAAACCATGTGTGAGGACAACTCGTCGAAGGTTTCGGTGACGTCACTGACCAATTTTCACTTGTTAGATTATTTTAAAGTGTAAGTACTTATGGATGCAATTACTCGTGGGTGCTGATGTTATGCCATATGTTTGACTGATTGTTTATTTTAGTATTTTAGTAAGCATTTCGTGTGAATGGTTGTACTATGCATTAATTATTACTCATTATAAAACTCACTCTCTTATTTATTTATTTTTTCAGGAAAGTAGATTCTTTACTGACCCAGTTAAACCTATGTTTCATTCACCGCAGAGCTAGAAAAGTAACTTTTAGTGTCAGTAGTTATTTAAATTATGTAGCTATATGTACAAGTAACTTGTTTATATCTATTTGTTAGTGAACTCCGTAGTTATAAGATTATAACCGATAAATTCATGTGGATGTCTTAATTATTCATTTAAGTGTATGCATGAACCAGTTAACCCTTATTATAAATGTTGTGTATCATATTTGGGCTCGAGTTATGAAATGTTTAAGATGCTGGATTTGCGCCAAGAGTATAAAATAACTATGAGACTTGTTATGTGTGGTATTATGGGCTGACTATTTTTGAAATTCATATTGATATAATTGAATTTAGTAATTTAGACTTTCTACAGATTTCGGGGGGTTTTATGCTTACTTGTCGGTCTAGTGCATGGTTTCGGGTTGATATATATATATTGGTTTCACGGCAATGGTCTTTTGAATTCATGGGCACCGAAGCAAGTGCTTTATCTCAACTCAACTCAAACAGTACTGAGCCGTTGAAAGTGTGCACCTTTTGTGAGATTGCAAATGAGGAAATTAATATTATATTTAATAAATTTTGATTAAAATATTATAAAATTATAACGTTATATTATAGCAAACAATACGGTAATTTTTTTTATTAAAAATCATTTTGATACTTACTATTATTAGATTACATCAAATAGAGTTTTGATTGTTCATAATAATTTATTAAAAAAAATAATATAATCAACTATAACAACGAATAAAATAATATTTAAATACATAATTATTTTAGTTGAAAATCAAATACAATTTTAAATTAACTATTAATAAAGTAAATACAAATTAATTACAAAATGAAATTTAAATAAAGCTAAAAATTCAATGATGACTTAAGAAAAAAAATTGTTGAAATATTTTGATTAATAGGCGGAGGAAGAAAATTTCAACGGAAGAGTTTTTTTATTTTTGTTTATTAATTTACGTTATATTTTATATATTTATATGATTTTTATCTTACGGTCGAAATTTTTTTATATGAGTTTTTTGTAAATGAATATATACATATATGAGGAAACGAAGAAAACAAATCCGTCTTAGCTCAGCTGGTAGAGCGCATGGCTTTTAATCATGTGGTCGTGGGTTCGAATATACAGACGGCGTATTTTAGCAATATATCAAATATGTAAATTAACATTAAATGATAGAATATTGTTTGGAATTTTTTTTTCCAAATTAATAAGTTAACATTATTCCATTTTATTTGGAAACTAGCCATGTACATGTGTCTATGCACAGTATTAAAAATACTGATTCTTGATATTTAATTTCAATGGTAACATTTCACTTTTAATTAAAATTATTTTATAATATCTTTATATTTACTTGTAGATAAAATAATTTTACATCTTATAATATTTAAACTTAATTTAACAAATACAGTTAAATATTTTGTAAAATTTAATTATTACATTAAAAAATTCTTTTTTTATTTTAGATGATACCATCAATTACAATAATTAATAACAATCACTGTTATGGTACAAATAATTATTACATTTTTTTCAAAATAGTATATATTTTAATGAGAATTAATTGAAAATAATAGTGAGATAACAATAAGTAATGGAATAAGAAATGCCAAGTAAAGACTCAAAGTGCTAAGTGTATCCCTATAAGAGGAATATGCCAGGTGTCATACATATACTAGATATATATTGATTAGAATATTAGAGTTCAACAGATAATAAAAATATTATTACCATATATATATATTTTTTTTTTGAAAATGTAAATGCTTATATATTAATTGAATTAAAATTCAAAATATCATAAATAATATTTGGAGGGACAAGACTCTACTCCAATAAATCAGACATAAAATAACAACTCAGACATAAAAATAACAACTCAAACTGTAAGTATGAACATACTGATTCGTTCATTTTCCAACAAAACGTGAACTTATTAATAAGAGCTCTACGGTCAAGAAACACAATTTCGAAATACGAATTATCTATCACGGGCTGTTGAATAGCCTGCATCACTATTAAGCGATCTCCCTCCGCTTCCTAGTTTGGCATAATTGATTCTAAGATGTATGTGGAATTGGGCTAGAAGCAACAGAAATCCTAAAACACATAGAAGGCCATTATCTGGGCAAGGAAGAATTTTGATACATCCCACTGCTACAATTTTTGCAATTTCATCAGCTACTTTCAAAACTTGGTTCTACAATGTCCTTATGATTTCAAGTCCAATAGTGTAATTCTGGTCAAAATGCAATTCTCAATATGAAGTTACTAATGCTCTAGCAAAACTGCCTACAGATGCAGTTAAAAACTACACATATTTTCCTCTATATTTTGGTTTCAGTTCTTTACATGCTTTGGCATCGCCTTCTGCAGCTATTTGAGGATCGGCTGGGCTGAAAACAGAAGAATGAAGACTACCCTCTTCTAACCACTTTAAATGGTTCTCTCTAAACTCCAAATGCTTTAATCTTGCTGCTTCTGCAATTTCATCAGTATATGGACCTATCTTCACCATGGTTAATAATACACGGCTGTAACGTGAGCTTAGGATCTGCTCAGAAGAAGCAACCAATTTGAAGCATTGGTGTTCTGGGAATTGAATTTGAACAGTGTCTTCTTCTCTTAGTACGGGATAGAAGCAAACAAGCCTGCCCCCCATTACGAGCATCCTAGCAGCAAGGTCAAGTAAATCATGCATGCACTCGGCTAGGCAGTAAGGTGCAGTTGAAGGTATGTGGTCAGTTCGCTTGTCATCAGGAACAGTGTAAGGGCTCACAGCTCCCTTCAGCAATTTCCGGCCACCAGACTTGCGTCCCCCAGCACGAACCCCATAAGGAGGGTCACAGATTATGGCATCAAACACCTAATTGATACAAAAATAATTAAAATCCAGAAAAAAGATGCAGAAAACACCATGGATGTAAGAGAAGCCAATGAAGTTTACACTCTACAAATGGGATAAACACCTTGAAACATTTCAGACTTATTCAAACTAACAAAATGGAAGTCCAAAATTGTATAGAAAGTCAAATGAGTTTGAAAGGGATAATAATTTCTAAACTCATAATATTGAATTTTTTAAATTAAGCCATCTTACTCTTTTTTTTTTAGAAACAAAGCTCTGATATCTTTAATACTGCTCATTGTTCCTAAATGAAATCTCACCGACCCTCGTTACTCACCACATCCATGACAGTTCATCTACCAGCCAGCTAATCAATGTTAGAATTTCTCCACAACAGGCCCAGAGATTGTAACCCCATCTTGCACCTAAACTGGATGCCACAGGACTTCCATTTCTCTTTCCTTGATGAAGGTCTTTCTTCTAGGAAGAGTTTCTATATGCAAATGGGTCATGCTCCTACATTTTTGTTTAGGATGATTTACTCGGCTAATAACAAATAAGATTTGGGAACTTCACTGTCCTGAAATTTTTTCTTCTCCATCTTATTCATATTTATGAAGAGACCTTGCTGCATATATTCTAATACCCCCATCACCTGTATGTAAATTCTTCTTTTATTTATGCCATCTCCATAGTACAAGCATGCATGCATGATTGAATTAAAATCTAAAAGATGCACTAGGCAGAAAATTAAAAATGCCTAACTATAATTTACAAGAGGAAAAAAAAAAAAAAAAAAAAAGAAGAGGAAAAAAAAAAAAAAAAAAAAAGAGAGAAACAACATCATTTGCAGCAAAATGAAAATTTTACAAAATGTTACCATCTTTCAAATCCTGGACGCCAAGGAGGAAGGTTATTGTCTGCCCGTAAAAGACCAATCGGCATAGGTAATAAAAAAAAAAAAAAAAAAAAAGAGAGAAAACAACCAATCATTTGCAGCAAAATGAAAATTTACAAAATGTTACCTCTTTCAATCCTGGACGCCAAGGAGGAAGGTTATTGTCTGCCCGTAAAAGACCAATCGGCATAGGTAATCCATACTACAATAAAGCATTGGAATTAGTTCTATGCAGTTGTATACAAAAACCCTAAGCTTCAGGGATGCATTGGAATTGGCAGATGCAAAAATAACAGGATTTAAATTTGATTTTAGATTAAATTACATGAATAATTTTTGTATGATATAGGTTCTCTTTGGTCAATTGATGCACCAATAATGTAGATTAGATTTATGAATTTTAGATGAAAATTTGTCTAAGGATGAAGTGGCAATAAGGTTAGATGAAAATTATTTTTTAATTATTATTTTGCTCCTTTGCAATCCTAAATCTCTATTTATTCAATCTGAGCAAAAAGCTCAAATTCAAAACTGTGGATTTCAAATTCCTCGTCCAACTGCAACTTGAAGATACTCCCTCACAGTATTGAAATGCAAAAGCATAATATTCCCACAAAACACAGGAAATAGGTAAACACTGTATATAGATATATTTCACCTGCTTGAAATTGCTCCAAACATTACAGTCAGGGCCACGTCCATCACGTACCACCCTAATATCAATATCAGCACCCTGACAATTAATATAAGTTAATAGTAATGTATGAAAATAGTTTATAAGATTTTCCAACCGCAACCTTCAAAATGAATCAGAAAAAACAAAGAAATGCAAACCATTGTCATTCCTCCGAAATGAGCTGCAGCAACAAGAATGCTTCCGGTGCCAACAAAAGGGTCATAGATGAGTTTTCCAGGTGTGACCATCGCCTGGTTCGCCATTAAGAAAGCCATTTCTGCATCCATGGCTGTTGGGCCAAGATAGTTGCGGCTTTTTAACTGATAAGTTGGTAAGAGCTTCCTGTCAGCACCACCAACCTCCCGACCAAAGAAGATTCTTCTTTGGAGAACAGGGGGCAACCCATTGTTAACTCCATAATCATCAGTTTCCATAAGCCAGAATTTGTGATCTGGATTTTTTAAATTAACTCGACCCTGGTCAAGTTGCCAAGTCAAGAATCAAATCATGAAATGAAATAATAATTCTACAAACTGAATAACCATGAAATGAAAAATAAATTAAACTAGAAGTAGGAAAAATATAAAATACTTCTAAGTTCCATATTCAATCATCATTAGTTATAATGTTCTCCTTTTAGCTTGATGAGAGAAAAGGAAATGTGGAGATAGGTGTCCAATAAAATAGACTAGTTCCATGAAGTAAGCAAGAGAAAGGGAGATGGAAGCAAAGAAGAACCAGGAATTCATATGCAAGTCACTAAGAAACAGCAATATTCCACTCCTGTACTTAGGCAGATCCAACTGGTCGTGCTATGCATGAATTAGTATTTTATTGCCCTTAAAGCAAATTAAAATATGCGAAGAAATCTATAGCCTATTATGTAGTACCATTCAGAACAAAATGTAAGCAGCACACCTTGAAAGGGATGTAAGCAAGTCCCTTAATACGATCATTTTGCTCTTGAAAGCTAATCACTTTTCCAAAGCTATCAACAGTGATCTTAAATGTACTTTCAGAAGTCAAATATGGCAATTTTTGCTCATCTGGATATCTCATTATAGCTTCTTCCAATTCCTCATAGTTACTTCCTTCTCCCCAAAGTTCATATATACCTTTTACAAGTATACCTACAAATTTTTCATGTTATAAAACAAGTCATTCTTGCATGCTACATCCGCTGCAAATGTTAGAAACAAAAGACTGTAGTGTAATAACAGCACCAGCAGAAGCCTATTTTATAGCTAAACAAAGTGTGCAACATTCTGCACAGAAAGGCTAAAGTCTGTCACTGACAATGTGGAACTTAACCTAATGGGATTAAAAGGGGCAAGAAAAATTATTTCAAAATATTTGATCACAAATAACCAATATAACTAAATACGAAGCAACTTGAAAAACATATTAGTTCTTTTTCTCTTGTAGTAATGAATTGAAGCTGAATTCAAAACACATATATAGTCATCACAAATTAAAAGCAACCATAAACTGAGAGCATTTTTTTATCTCAACACCACATCACCTAACCATATGTTTAACTAACTTGTTAAGATTAACCAGCCAATATCATTTTCAGGAATGATTACACATTCCTATAAAAAGAACATAAAAAACAAACTAACATACTATTATAAACATCAATCAACTAATTCAACTAGGTCATAGTATCCAAACTAATAGAACATAAGCATTAAAAAAAAAAAGGAAAAGAACTCTCTTTTGAGCATACATTTTCATTTCCCCGCTTCCCCATTTCCTCTTCTTCACAAAAACATTAATATAATTGAAAAACCACCATTAAATAGCTAAAAGAAGAAAACCCAATTCAATTAACAAGTGACGGCAAATAAATTTATATTCAAAAAAATTCACTAACTTCGGTTGGCGATGTTTCGAGCAACATCTTCATTGGGGAGATTAACAAAGTGAAAAGGCGAGTCAGGATGGTGATGTTGGGGAAGCTTCCATTCCAAAGCTTCAGAACCCCCAAAAAGCTCTGCAAGTGCCTCTACCTCTGGTTTTCTATAATCCAACAATCGGTGGTAAAATACGCATAGGTACCACATCCTTGAGATGTTAATGTAATGACTAGTTTTAGATAATATGAGAAGCAGGGCTAATATTTGGCAGGCAGGAGAGGCGCGAGTAAAACCCTATACCCTGCACCTCTTGTCCGGTGGCTTTCGCTTGATTTTCATAACCAATAATAAAAAAAAAAAAAATGGAAAAAAAAAAAGAAAAGAAAAGAAAAAGAAAAAAGTGGCAAATTTGACAAAAATAACTACTAACCATCTCATTCCCTAATTTTATATGAATGCAGGGGTTAATTCAACATAATATTCAAAAGATCATTAAAGACTGGATTATTACATAAACGCAGTTAAAAAATTTTTTAAAAAACTGTTTCAACTTTATCCTTTTTTTTTCAAAGTATATAGTTTGAAATACCATTATTTTAATCAAAACCTTTAATTTTATAGATTTGATCCATAAATAGGGTTATGGATCCGATTTAGGTGAGTTTTTCCAAACCTAAGATAGTGCCACAAAAAATTCAACTAAACATGGGAAAGGAAAAGAAATAAAAAAAAAATCAATATTGTGGGGACAATGACTTATTGATGAAGCTTTGGCAATGATAGAACATTTAAATTTTGTCACTCAACTTCCATCGTTGTAAATTATTTCTTAAATTCCATTTTCCCTCCTTTCCATACTGGTTTGCAATTTTTCCTTTCTTTTTTAATTTTTTTTTATTAAATAATAAAAATCCTATCTCATGGTAAGATAAGATGATAGGAATCTCTTTTTTCTTAATTGAGATCGAGAGTTTAGGTTTGGGTATGAGGTAGGGATGGCCAAATTACGGTTTCTGGAACTGGAACTGTCGATTCTGAACCGATGGGAACCAGAACCGGTGGCCTACAGTTCGATTCCGGTTCCACCATTTTTGAAACTGTGAACCGACGGCTCCAAGAACCAGCCGGTTCCAAAATTTTCTCTACTTTTTTATTGTACAATCATGCGATTCACTAAAAACAAGTCATGAACCAGCCTTAACCGTCGGTTTTGGAACTATTAAAGAATTGAAATTGGAATCAAAACCGTTCGGTTCCAAATCGAAATCGAAACCGTCAATTTTCAGTTCGGTTCCAGAACCGTAGCCATATCTAGTATGAAATCTCTTTAAACACTTGCGAATGAGCGTTTTGCTTCCCCTCTATAAGTCTGCCTGGAGCGAATTCGAATTAACAGGACCAATATGCTTCGAGCACCGGATAGTTAAAAAGAAAAAACAAAAATCTTTTTTTTCATTTTGTACCAAGGTTGAATTTGCCTAAACGCGTAACAATATGAATAGTTTAATCCATTAGAATGCCCCGAGGTATAACTTTTTCAGTAATGCGAGGAATGAGTAATTAAACAGAAATCAATGTCAATGAAGAACATAAAATAAAGAGGCTTTAGAAATATAAGAAAATAAATGGTCTAACGGCAAAAGGTTTAATTCTACCTATACCACTTAATTATTTTAACAATGTGACACATCAGCAATTATATTTCCACTTTTATATTACGTTGACTTACCTAAATCCGGTTTATAAATCTATTTATAGATTAATCTAATCAAAAATATATTTTTTTTTTTGCTGAAATGATGATATTTCTAATCATCCCTTGAGGAGAAAAAAAAGGTAAAGTGAGAACAATTTTTAGAAACTCTCTATTTTAATTGATTTGGTCCATAAATGAGTGCATAAACCGATAAATTATATAAAATCAATGGTTCAACTTATTATATACCTGCCCAGCTCTCAAAATTAGATTTAAAAGTTCAAATTAAAATCACATTAAATGTTATTCCAGTCCTGACTTATTTTCATGAAAAATGTATTTTAGATGAACAATTACATATGGCATAAATCTTCTCATTTTTTATTAAAACATAGAGAATGGAAAGTCTTGAATCTAAATTCTAATGATTATAAATAATTTTCGTTAATTTGATGAGTTTAAAAGAAGATTGGCTATCCTCTTGTATAGTTCACAATATTATTCGGTTCGTTCAACCTTTCAATATATTGGAAAAAAAAAGAGTGTATTCTAGGTACAAAACTTTTATTTTTATAATCAAAATACAGGTACAAGTCTTATTGAAATTGTGAAGAGGACTAAGGAGGATTATAGAAAGTGATATGTATTCTTATACCTTATTGTATAACATTATAAAGACTTTAAATGTTGTCATGTGAAGAGATCTCTTCACAAGATGTTGCTTTTGTCTATATTATAAGTTATTGCCATCAATAATATGTATTCTTTTATTTCCAATTTTTGTAGTTCAACTTTCTTTTTTTTTTTCTTTTTTTTTTTTTTTTATAAAGACTTTAAAATGTTGTTTCCATGTTTTGAAGAGATCTCTTCCACAAGATGTTGCTTTTGTCTATATTTATAGTTAATTTGTCCATCAATTAATATGTATTCTTTTATTTTCCGTAATTTTTGTAAGTCCAACTTTCTTTTTTTTTTTTCTTTTTTTTTTTTTTTAATTTTGTTTTTTTTTTTCTTTTTTTTTTTTTTATTTGCTATTGATTGTGAAGATTGAATTGATATCATTGTAGTTGTTAGTTCAAGACTTGTATAATTCTTTTTTTTTTTTCCTTTTTTTATTTTACTATAAAATATTAGTTAGGTAGCAAGTTCGATGATCCATGATGAAACGTAATATAATGTAATCAAACATATTTTTAATATAAACATTATATATAAAAAAAATGCCTTTAATTACATTAGAATGTATTGTTCACAAAAAAAAAAAAATGTCTTTATTGCTTAAAGGTTACCTTAACATTTATTATTTCTGTTACATAATATTTGTCATATTTGAGAAAATAATTTATTCCAAAATACTTATTACATTTGTGGTTTAAAAGAGTAATACATCTTTTTTTTGTATTTACTCTTTGTATATAATCAATAATTATTACTTCAATTTAATAGTTTTCTTAGAGAATTAGTACAAAATTAAGGGTAATATAATCAATTTACTCAATAATTTATTGTAACTTAGACAAATTTAATGATTTTTCTAGGAGACGTAAAATTCCAAAGATGACGAGCATTATGGAATAGTTGTTTATAAATTATTATATTTTATAATCATAAAATTTAGAAGCCAACAACGTCAAGAATTCAAATCGTGAAAAATCATCACTATTAGAAATGCTTTACTTGCAGCGTAAAGAGGTGTAAATAAAGAAAAAAATATTGGATAAATATTTATAAATTTGACAATAATGATCTTATTGAAATAAATCGTAATATGTGATTATATATATGAACTGAAATTGAAGTGATCATGAAATGAAACTAAAATATTCAAATTTCTACTCACTCTTTATAGTTTATATAATTTGGAAACTAATTAAATACTACAACATATCTAAGATTTTAATTTTAACAAATTGGCAAAAACTTTATTGATTTATATTAAGTTTGATTATTATAAGATTAAAAATACTTTTATATGATTATTTTAAGTTAAAAATACTTTTATATATATATATATATATATATACTATATATTAGCACTGACTAGCGATAAGACGTAGTTCATCCTCTCCATGTCCGGGTCTATGCAAATGTCACTCGTCCACATGGACCAAGAACAGATCTCCGATACACCATGGGGTTATGATTACTGGCAATTGGTGAAGCTTAGCCCAAACAAGAATAATTAAGTGCTTGGAGTATCCAAGTAATACGAATATTGAACCTACCGGGAAATTTGTCCAGCGTACGTCAATATTAAAAATAAAGTTGTATTCAAGCTATTTAAATTATAAAAACTTTTACTGGAATAAGGTTGAATTTACTTACATCATTGTTTGACTCTAATTGTAATTAATATATTAGAACTGACTAGCGAATAGACGTAGTTCATCCTCTCCATGTCGGGTCTATGCAAATGTCACTCCACATGGACAAGACAGATCTCCGATACACATGGGGTTATGATTATTGAGCATTGGTGAGCTTAGCCCAAACAAGATTAATTAAGTGCTTGGATGTATCCAAGAATCGAATATTGAACTACCGGAAATTTGTCCAGCGTACGTCAAATTAAAAATAAGTTTATCAGCTATTAAATTATAAAACTTTTACTGAAATAAGGTTGAATTTATAACATTTTTGACTCTAATTGTAAATATAACTCATTTGATTAAAGGAAAACATAACTCATTATGTTAACTAATTTTGATACAAAAGCGTATAAACCATTTTTTTTTTTTAATCCAAAAATTTCAAACATAACCTAAAAACAAACTGTCGTTGACATCAATTTATTTCCCATTTGACACAACCATTAACACAAACACAAGTTAAAACTCAAACAAGTAATTATTCAAAGCAACTGATCCAGTAAACTCAAACACAACTTAATTAAAATCTAGGAGACAAAGCAACCTTCAATGGCTTCTTCATTGAAATAGTGAGATCAAACTTCTCAGTTAAATCCACTTCTTCTCCATCAACTTCTTTCCATTCAAAATACCAAATCAAGTTAGCCAGAATATACTCCATATGCAGCATAGCCAATCCATAACCAGGGCATATCCTCCTTCCAGCACCAAAAGGCATCATTTTGATTTCTCTACTTCCTGTCAAATCAAAATTACCTTTCAAGAACCTCTCTGGCTTAAACTCCATTGGATTCTCCCAAACATTTGGGTCTCTTCCTATATCTGCTATCAAGAAATTTACTGCTGTACCTTTAGGTATATTGTACCCACCTAGTTCAGCATCTTCTGTCACCGCATGCGGTGTTGCCGGAGCATATCCAGGTGGGTGCCTCCTTAAACCTTCAAGAACCACTGCTTTTAGATATGGCATCTTTTGTAAATCATCTTCTTTAATAGTAGGATTTTCTTCTTTTGTGTCATCTTTTCCTGTTACAACTTCTTTTATTTCTTTCAAAATATTTTCTTGAATGGTTGGGTTCTTGACTATATTCGCCATAATCCATTGCAATGAAATTGCAGAGGTGTCCGTGCCAGCACTCACAAATTCGTTGCAGAGGCCAACGATTTCACCTTCATTAAGCGTCATCTTCTCTTCTTCTTCATCACTAAGATGCAAATTTAATAATGTATCTACGTAAAAAACACTTTCTTCACCCTTTCTTGTTTCTTGCTTCATTTTCTTTCTTGATTTTACTAGAGGAACAAGAACATCGTCATAGCCATTGACGATTTCATTAAGCTCTTTCCACTGCTTCCTAAACAATAACTTCCCCAACTTTGGTATGAGAATAAACAACATGAACCTGTGAAAATTCTTGAAAAGTCTTTGTTGGGCGATTTCAATTTCCTTAATTTGATTCTCTTCAACGTTTTCTCCAAAACACAAAAGAACCAACAAGGAAAATACTGCATAACGAAAGTGCTCTTCCACAAACAATGCCTTGTTTCCTTCAGAATCTTGTTTTAGATTATTAATCAAATTACAAACAACTCGCTTTCGGACGTTAGAAAATGATTTGAGTTGATTAGGATGGAGAACTCCGGCGGTAAGATTCCGGCGAAGGGCACGCCAAGTGGGTCCATAAGGAGATTTACTTATGATTTTCTTCGAATTACTAACAATAAGGTTGTTTATGGACCTGGGGCGATCAGCAAAGACTGCACCGTTTTGGATTAGGGCTTGGTGAGCAAGAGAGTTGGTGGCGATATAAATGGTGGGGTGAGAGCCAAGATTGACGGTGATAAGAGGGCCATATCTTTTACGTAGAGTAGAGATGATAGGTCCAAGTTCAAAAAATGATTTTCTGTGTAAAATGAAATTGGCTATAAGAGAAATTCTAGGAGGTCCTGGTGGGAGATTATTATTATTGTTTATGGGCTTTGATGAGACTGAGGAGTGAAGAAGAAGAAGAAGATTGATGAGTGGTTTGAGAAGGAGACATAAGCAAAGCGAGACAATAAAGAAGGAGAGCTCCATGATTACAACTATCTTGTGTGCTTGTGAAGTAAGTTAAGCATGCAAATTTATAGACTTTTTTTTGGGTTTTTTCCCAAAACGGTGCTTGAAAGAAAACTAATTAAGAGAATGGTATCCCAAAATATATTTACACTATAAAAGACCAAAGAAAGAATAATAAAGAAAGAATACTATTCGGACACAAGAATACATGCAAGATATTTGTTAGCTAACAATCTATAAAAGAGTACGTGACATGAAAAACACCAATTGTGTCATTTTTAATACATCAATAGATTTTATTTAGATAATTTAAAGCATGCATGTGAAAGAAAAAGGGCATAATGCACCATAACGAAGTGATTTGATGTATCAAATTGTGTAAGAAAATGTATTATTATTAGGAAGAATTTGTATTTTGTTTGATATGATTGCAGGGAAGGAAGATGTGTTGCACTCTTGTGAATATTTCTAAACCCACAATTGTTTATATATCTAGATGTTTTATAGCTGTATATCTCACAATTAATTTTTTTTTTTATTACTTTCTATGTTTCACTGGTCTCAGTAGAATATATCGATACCTATCTATGTTTGATATCATAAACTCGTTCATATTGCTCAACACAATGTAAAATTTGTGGTATTTGGTAAAGTTTAAAATTTTTTTCTGTTAATATATAATGTTAGATATTTGTTAATTGAATAAATACCTTATATTGGTTAGATATGATTTTTTTTTTTTTTTATTTTGACTTATTGCATTGTGCAATTCTTTTGTTTAACTTGACATTAAAAGCAAAAGTGATCATTTTATTTGAAGGTAAATACTTAAGCTTATGTCTAAAAGTTATTTTAATTTAATTTCTTATTTTGCTTTACTTTTTTTAGAATTAATTACCACCCATCTCAGTAGGCTATTTATCTTAAAATAAAAGTCTAATAATTGTTTAAGTGGTAAATGCTAAAAAAAAGGATAATTTTAATGAATAAATAGTTAATTATATTGTGTTGTATATTATTTATGTTAGATAAATAGTTAATTATATCATAGTTGAAAAAAGAAATCTTATATGTTACATAATTGCTCTGAGTTTAAAAACTAAATTTATTCATTAAAGGGTAAAGTGCTAGTATTTATTTCATTTAAATTTTCAATTTCACTTAATAATGAAAAATATCAAACCACTCATCTCAATAATCATTGGCGGAGATATGTACTTTTCATTTAGTATAGGAAACGTAAGACTATATTTTTCAATGTATTAAGCCAATCCATGAAAGGGAGAATATTTTGGATCCAACTAATTAATAGAATATTATTTCTAATAATATTCACTTTTGAAAAATGGAAATGAAATCAATTTCTTGTGATAAAAGTTGCTTTCTTGTTTGGTTCATAAAAGTTTACATATCTTATGATATTTTTATATTAAAATATTTTAATTCTTTTAAATAATATTTATTGTAAATGTAATTTTTCAAATCAACATGCAATTTTTATTTGATTATCTAAATGACGACTAATAAACATATATAAAATTTTGTCATTCCAACTCACAATATTGAACATTAATTTTCAACGGAATCAAGTTATAAATTTGAAGCATGAGCACTATCAAATGCTTCACTTTGGAATTGAAAATTGAATCTAATTCTAAGAAAAAGACTTCTTTCCTTCTTTCATTTTGCAAAATACATTTTCATGTATTTCTAAAATACACTAATTTTTCTTATATTTGATTTCGCTGAACTAATATGTCCTTTTATCTATTTTTTATACTTTGTCATACTTTGTCGTTTAATATCGAAAATACAAAAATTACCTTTTTCCTAAATCAAAATCAATAAGTTTTGATTGAGAAAATTACTATTTTGTTCTTATATTTTAAAAAATACAGAGACAAATCGATGTATTTTGACAAAATATATGAGTAAAATAGTAAAGTTTGCATAATTTTGTGGAAAAATAGAAAAATCATGTGTTTGACATGAGTTGAGTCCGTGAGCTTCCCATTTTCCCGCTGTATCCGTTAAAAATTGAAAGAAGCAAAGTATTTGAGATCCAGTTGGTTAGCTTAATCTTATAATAATTAGCTTAAGTCACAACTAATTCAATATATAAAACTAATAAATTCAAATTCTTGCTAAATTTAAAAAGTATTTTATAACTAATTTTAATTTTTTTTATATATAATAACATTCTTCTATGCATGTTTGTTGAGACCCTTTTTTTTTTAATTAAAACTATTTCACATTTTTTTTCTAGATTACTTGTCGAAATATACATAATTATGTTAGTATTTACTATAATATACAAGCTGAATTGCTAAAAATTCCTAATTTCCCACTTCAAAAGGGTAGAAAAATTAAATTTCTATTAAAAATAAAATATTTTAAATTATATAATAATATTTATTATACAATTATATTACTTTTTTTTTTCCTATAATATGTTACGAGAATTCTACTTTTCCCAAAAAAATAAATTTTCCATACAAAAAATTGAATTCCGACAACCGAACATCCCCATCAACAGGTAACATTGAGATCCTAACATTCTGAACAATGATCCGCTCATCTAATTAATATCAAAATTTATTTTGTGATACAACTATATATTTATGTAAGGTAATAAATATTTTATATGATATGTATATATTTTCACATTAGCATATTTAATACATTTTAATATTAAACATAATTGTTATAATTGGTAAAAAATAAAAGTTTAATTTTCAGTAAAAAATTATAAAATTTCCATTAAAAATCTTACATCACTCCAACTCCCAGAAGATACACGGCACACACCAAAGCAAGTTAATGTAGCTGGAAAATCCAAAACCCATAACAAAATCTTCCACTTGAGATATAGCTAGTTCAGAGACTAAATGTGCTATTTATAAAATGTTTCACCCAAATAAACAAAATGTTCAAACCCAAATGCTAGACATCACACTTATCTCAAACAAGAAATTATACAGATAGGAGTTGTTCTAATCTAATAAATAGACCAATGCCCTAAACAAAAACAATCGACACTAGCATCTTTAAAACCTGAGAAGTGTACACTACGCATGCAGATCTTAATATATCATCAAGAGCTAGTTAGTTTCTACAATGGTTAGATATTTACACATACAGAGGCAGGCATAAAGTTAGGGCATTCATCTATCTACAGGTGAATGAAGCAAATCAGCAGAGCTCAAGTTCACTCACTCGCTCACTCACTCAAATGCTAGTGACATGAAAGTGTCATCGTCCAAAAGTGAATCAATATCAACAAGGTCTTCATTGGCATACACAAGTTCATTTGGACTGCTCAGTACCATTTCACATTCCTGAAAGAAAAAGGGGGCCAGAAGATTTGCCATTCCATTAGAATTTTTATAGTTAAAATTTAATTCATTTATCACACTTGATTAGGTCGAAAACATATCCAATCAAGAATAGTTTTACAAACCATCAACAGTTAAGCGACTAATTTCAGGGAAAAGAAGTATATCCACACAGAATGTTAGTAAACTATGGAGCCAAAGCATTTACAACCCACGTAATGTTATTTAGGGGAAAGAAGTTTGCAATGATTAGTGACTTGAACCCATAATGTTAAAAAAACGTTCAATAAAAATCAAAGTAAAATATAGCATACATTGAAATAGATACTTGTAGAATTAAAAGTTTGCATACCTTAGTTTCCCGTAATTTTTCGAAGTAAGTCAGCAGCCTCCGGTATTGAGCTTGTCCTTCTGCAGAATGATACATAGATTTCACCCTTGTAAGTGCTTTTTGTTGCCTCTCCTCATTTTGCTTCCTTCCTTCCTTTAGAAAATCATAATCATCCTCTTTTGAAGGCAAGGGCTGTGAAGGCAAGGGCTGTGAAGACAAGGGCTGTGAAGGCAAGGGCTGTGAAGACAAGGGCTGTGAACATAAGGGCTGCGAAGACGAGGGTTGTGAAGCCAAGGGTTGTACATTGGTCTCCTTAACTGCATCTCTGCGGAATCCCCGCAAACCACTTCCTTTGCGCCTCCAGCGCAGTATAACCTTTTCCAAAATTCCAACTGACCAGATGATTGTTCTGTATTGCTTCCTTACCTGGTGTCCCCTTACGTGGGCCTGCATATGAATATGATAACTATCAAATTTCAGCACGAAAAACACCAACAAGAACCCAAAAGCTAAAAGGCTAAAATGGTGAATTTCTTTCAATAAAATGGATGTAACATTAAAAAATTTATTTGATTAGTAAATGTAGCAATTCACATGTCAAATTCATTTATGGTTATAAATATGAAACAAACCTGTATCTTAACAATTCTTTGCCGGATTATCAGGAATTCTTTTCTCTTCGTCCACCCCCGGAACTTCTTTTGGATTTGTATGGCTGCAGCATTGACCATTCCATCAGAATGCATAGGCCTGTGGGTCCTGGCTGCTAGAAGTGCAAGAGCACGCCCATCCAATATATTGGATTCATCATCGCCATACTCAGTCAACTGTTTCCGCTGGAAGGATTGCATTCTGAATACTTGATGTATACGATTAGCAGCTTGTGTAGCATTACGTATGGCAGTAAGTGAATCCTTCATCGGTAGCACATTTGGCACATCAACCTCATTTGCAGGAGTTGCAACCCGTTCAGCAATAGTTTGCACAGCAGTCATTCCTGAAACTTCTGGCAAACCACCCTCCTTTGAATCATTTAGTGTAAGCAATTGTAGATAGCTAGTCAAAGATGATTCTGCAAGGAATCCAGAAATTCCTTTGTGTCCATTGCCTGAAGCAAGGTCCGCTGGAGTTCTACTCAAAGGAAATTCTGGAGAAGGATCAGTCAATACCCGAGTATCTGCATCTAATGAGACGAGCGCCGCTACTGTCTGCTCTCTGTATAATAAAAGCATTTAAGCAACCACTGTTAATATTGTAAAATATATGCAAATTACATGGCATCTGATAGAAATTTGTCGAATGAAAAACCCAGGAAGATAAAGCAAATAGTCCTTAGGAAGTTTTGATACTAACTAATTAGTATTTGCAAGAAATGTGTCAGCATATGAATAGTGCAAAGCCACAGGCAGCACAAAAGTTAAAGAGATAACTAGAAGAAAGTTTCAGCCTTTGTGCTCTGGTATGGACTGTACTTTCTAACGCATACTATTATTGGACAGCAAAATTAAATGCACCTAGACAAAGAACTAAGTCTCGAGGCAAAAGACAAATTGCTTTTCAAATTCAACACTCTGATACGAAATCTTCTTTCTAACACATGCTAATATGAGAATGCATTCTAAATGCACTTAGACAAAGAAATAAGACTCCAGGCAAAGGACAAATAATAAAACTTGCTTTTCAAATGCAGTGTAAAATGGAATCATTGTCTAACAAAGGTTAGAAACTCAAGTTCTTGCCTGCCGTAGTATGCAGCCCAATGAAGAGCAGTCCATCCATTCATATCACGGAAATTGATACTAACTCCAGCAGCAATGATTGGTTTTATGGCCCAGTCATAACCAAGAGCAGCTGCTAAGTGAAGCACACCTTGCCCTTCATCATCTAACACACATGGCCCTTTACCACTTTCAGCTACTACATGAAGGAGCCATTGATATAATTTTTCTTGTATTGCCTTCTGAAGAAGTTGCCTCATTATTTCATCTTGCGATATATGTCTGCCTGAGCTTGGTTCTGTTGTTTGGCCACTTTCATCTTCCTCCTTCAATAAAATGATCTCACTGACTAACTTCTGTTTCTCTCTAGCATCATCAAATAGACAGTTTGTATGGCTGGAAGATCTCACAGACAGTATCCTCTCAAGTCGCAGATGAAGATGCATGTCATCTGTATTAGTACCATAAACATCTGTAACATCCACAACTTCAGTAGAACCTGCCAGATAATCAAATTCTCTCACTTCACTACAAGCTACCCTGTTGGAACATGTAACGTAAAATGGAACTCTCGCAACACTGTGAGGCGGAGCATAGCAACAGAGCACACCATCTGCCAAAACCTCAGCAGGTACTTCCAGTTCCCCAAACATGCAAGACCAGCTACATTTTGCCACTTCTTGCTGACTTGTCAAAAATGATCCAGTAATATGAACCTGCTTACAGCAAAGAAAATGAGAAGCAAGAAATTTTGCATTCCCCCTACTCTGTTATAACAATTTAAGAATCAAGTAACAGATTTCAAAAGCATGAAACAAAGGCAACTGCTCAGCACAATAAAAAGATGGAAGAAAAATGACATAAGAAATTGGAACAAACGGTAGTACTCTTGACAAAAGAATGAGTGTTGTCAGGCAAAGGATGCGCTAAATAGACATGTCAGTAATTCACAAGATTTAAAAACAGTAAAGAAGGTTGCTAGGCACCCTAGTGACCCAAAGTATTAGAACACATTATAGTTCCCAAAACCAGCTTGTGAATTTGACAAAAGATCCATAATAATTGTCTCACATCAGATGAACGTTGCTTAGTTGTGGAAAAAGAAAATCAGCAATGCTAACCTACAAAAATGTATCACATCAGTACCAATTAACCATTAAAAGGAAAATAAGTTATACTCTCCAGAGAAACCACAAACAATGGACTGATAGAAACTCTAATTAAGCAACTGAACACAAATGCTCAATTTCAAATAAGGAATGGATATCGGATACCTCAGTTTTTGAGTCTGCATAAGCCCACTTTGGTGAAAAATCGATTATGCTGAAAAGTTGATCTTGAGAGAGAGAGGGACTCAACGAAGAGTCATCCACTACATTATCTTCAACAGTGCTCCACGATAGACCCAATGACGACCTCATATGCAAATCATCCACCTCTCCTAGTTCTCTCGTAACCCAACGTGAGAAGCTGTCAACTTTCTTCAAGCCCTCTTCTCCATCTAATAATGGCTGTTTCCCAACAAAAGCATACTTGCCATTTTCCCCTATAGATATGTCATTCTCAGATCTTCTGTTCATCATAAATTGTGGTTCTGAATTTGTAAGATGCATTTGAAGGTTGTTCTGCAAAAGCTCCTCATTGTGCTGAACAGGACCAGAGAAAAATTCCTCAAATTCATTTTGTACATCTGCATTATGAGTTCTTTGCTCAAATAACCTGGTTTCTAAACCATATGTCAACTCGAGGTCCAGCGTCTGCTCAATAGGGCCCCCATGCGAGTGCAAGGAACTATTTTCAAAGGGAACCTGGATAAACGATTTAAATCATAGCATGAACATAATTAATATACAGGGAATAAAATGTTCAGAAATTATGACAAATTACTTGGCACACCAGAAATTCAAGGGATATAAGCACAATATATTGCAGTTTTGAGCATATGTAGATTATCAGGAAATTTTGATTTCAGATTTGACAAAAACATTGAAAATGCTTTCATAGTTATCAATATACGAACTCATCCGTCAAGCCTATCTTTATACCTAGGCCTAGCCATGTTATGAAATTCATAATGTAGGCATAAGCTAAGCACATGCCTAATTATTGACACATCCCCTTGGCATTTCATCATTGTCATCCTTAATCTACTTCATCTTCTGTACTACCATAATATAACCTCGGTGTGCTCAATCTTCCATGCCAGTGTATCAGCTGACACTAAACATGATAAAAGCATCTCAACCCCCAACACTTAGCAAAAAGAAAAATATCTATATCCTAACAAGTTCTGCTCATCAAAGAATCCCCATCCCTCTCTCTCTCCATCCCCCCAATCACAAATGCATACACACAAGCATATATAGATAATCATGATTCACAACCGAGGAACAAAAACAGCAAAGTAAAAACATACAATTATTGGTAACTAAATGAAGCAATGCTTGCATGTACATATAGGTATTTCAGATTCAACAAATCCAGAAAAGACAAACTAGAGACCAGAAATAAATGCTATGCGATTTCAGTAAGTATACCATTTCACTTCAAGTTATTCAATAAATACGATGCAAGAAAATGTTAGATGCAGAAAGAATTTAATTACCTGCCAATGTGATTCCATTAGCAAAGAACCACCATAATCCTCTTTAGCAGAATTCCCACCAGACAAGATCTCACCAAGAATCACATTCCTTCCAGTACCTGTAGCATCAGTTGGAGCAGAATTCATTGATAAATGAGAAGGTGCACTTTTGTCTCCCATTGTACAATGCTCCAAGACCTCCTCCCAAGATGGCAAGCTTTGGGACTCAGTAATGCAAGAAGCATTATTATTTCCTGGTGCATCTCGATGTACATATGAAATTGGACCTACTACTGGCGTCAATGACCGACCTTGATGATTATCTGTCAAGAGTTTCAAGCATACATAAAGTTCAAATTCTTCATTACATAGAGGTTTCCCATGGATCACAGCACACAATTGAATACAAGTAATGGAGATTCTAAATGCAATAACAAGAAAAACAATCTTACCTGAACCAGGATTCATAAAATAAGAATTTGATGCACCAGCATTTACTTTGCCCATCACAGGACTACTCTGAATTTGTGATGACTCAAGAAATGAGCGGTGTCCAGATATTGATTGTTGACTATCAGCTGCATTAATTGCACACAAGTTGCAACTGAGATTTATATCATAGTTGAAGAGTGAACAAGTGCATCATGAGCAAAATTATTAAATGTTTATCAAATTCTTCCTGAAGGGTGGATGGAGTGAGGGAAAGAGGGGACCATTAAGACAAGTAATGACAAGGTTGCTACCCATGAACAGCACGACTAAATTAAAACTTCCACAAATATTAAAAGAGAACTGATTCAAACAAAATTGTGAAGAATGCAATCACCACTCCTTAACATGAACAAACATCCACAATTTTCCCGCTCTCCCCAAGAATCAAAAAAATGACCAAAAAAGATAGCATGCTACACCTTGCACTTCACTCTATATATTAAAGCACCCTGAGCCCATCTCTATACTAAAAAACAAGGATGAAAAATAAAAGACCAGTATTACAGATAATGAACAGAATATACCTGAATCAGCGTCTTCACAGAACGATGTAAGAGTGCTAGTCGGGCTTGTTGAATCTGTATTTCCAGAAGGCTCTTTGTTCTGACTAGCAACAAGACTATTGGAAGGGCTACTATTTGTCCTGTTACCCTGCAAATATGTTTCTAATGATCATTAATTTTGAGCAAACCAGAACTATACCTCTGCTTGAAAATTTTAGAAGAAACAGTATCAGAAAATTAATTCCTTATCCTTTGAGGATGATATGCAAAATTTGTATTGGACTGCATCTCGCAGCCTATAACAAGTTTGAAATACTTAAATAGATGATAATGAAGAATATGAAGAGTGTACTACCTTTACTTCCAAGTAGTGAACGAAAACTATATGCATCAATTCCCTGCATCAGTTAACAAAACCATAAGAATCCAATAAAAAGTCCATGAAAAAATAAGCAATAACAAACCCAAACAAGATATATAAGGATTTCATTGACAAAAAGAAATTTATCGATAACATGGGCCATGAATCTTTTGGCCCTAAGAGACTGAATTACAAACCTCTTTCACATAGAAAAGATCCATGTTTTCACAATTATTTGTTCCAAAAAAAAAAAACAGAACAAAAGAGGGAAAGATATAGGAACCAGAAGTACTGCTATATCATTTTGTCTAACTTAAGTCTCGACTAATATGCTTTTTTACATTATGCAAAATATTTATTTAAATAATTTGAAGAACATCCATTCCTAATCCTTTCTTGATAAGAATGTTTACATGCGTCTTTTTTAGGGAGGGGGTCCATTTAGGGACAATCTCAATTTACACTTTTTCACAACCAGTTATATTATCAGCCAAATCATTCATAAAACAATATCCAAATACTGAACCCATTGCCTATAGCCTTTGCAAATAGCAAAAGTTCTTGGGAAGATCAAAGAAAGATAAAGGAATATGTTCAACTTCCATAAAGTCTGTCCCACCCAGCACAAACCTAATCTTTTCAGAAAAAGTACATGCATTATCTTCAAGCCAACAAGGTCAAGACATTCTGATATGTGAAATGAGCATACAAATCAATGGACTGTGACTACATTAATAAAAATAAACAAAAAACGAAACAAAGAAACAAAAAAGAGAGAAAAAGACCTATGACAACTCCACACCTATTGATAGCATTATCCAATATGCCTACTTATTCCTGTGGCAGCATTTTTCACGATGATAACCCAGGCTTATGGTTCTCATTTGATTAAAAAAAATTAAAACTACATATAGTGTACACACACACACACACACACATACACATGTAAAGATAATAATAAAAAATTGAAACCCAACAAATAAAATAGGAAACCACTCATTCTGCCTACTCATTGCTGTGGCAGCACATCTTCACCGGTAACCGCCATAAAAAACTTCAATGAATACGTGTCAAGGGCTTCTTATATCCATTTCATTGTTTATATTTTTGCCCTTTATATACAGAATACAAGAATTTCCTGTCCTACCACAAATTTCAATTAGGCAGCATTGCCAGTAGAGTAAAGGAACAGCACAAATAGTCAGCCTGCACATGCATATCCTTACTTCTGCCAATACTCACCGGCACAACCTTTCCTGAGACTATATAAGAAGGAAGAAAATCCATTTACTTCAATCTTTTAATTGTGCGTCACTTCATGATAGCTATCAGGATCCTGTTCACTTACATTTGGAACTACTGTGCCACAACCTGTACTCCTGACTGACCAAGCACTAACCCTACCTACATTAATAAGCTTCCAACTGTAACTCCTTGGCTAATTTCTTGTAGACTTTGGACATTGTCAGGGCATTTTTATATGAAGAGCTGTAGCATTGTGGCTCAAATGCCTAATCACACAACAAAGGAAAGTAATTTTGGAAGTTGAAAATGCAAATGTTGAAACATCAACTTTGGATCTTTATTCTTATGGATGGTTCCTGCCATGCACCAGGTTTCCCAACTGTTCTCTAATGATTTCATACTAGTCCAAATTCAGTACTTTAGAACTCTATGTTACTCAATCTTCCTCTTCTTTTTGCCATACCAACACTTTAGTGCGGTACGGCAGTAATCTACTCTTGACAGTGAATAGCTCATTCATCAAAAAGAGAAAAAAAAAAAAAAAAGTAAACTATTAGCTGTTAATGTCCACTGATACAAATAATTGTTTGCACTCTTAGAACACCTATCCAAGAAATTAAATTGCTGAAGGTTCAGTCTATTGATGATGGTCTTCCCAATTATAAAAAATCCCAGCTAGATAACAGAGACAGCTTTCCCAACACAGTTGTATGCTGATTGCTTTTGAGCAATCCTGTGAATAACACCATCTCTCAGCAATATTGTCCAAGCAGTATAATATGCCAACTAATTGTTACTTTATTGCATTCTGCACCTATTCACTTAGTCTTTATTCAAAAAGATAAAACCAAAAAAAAAAAAAAAAAAAACAAACTTGTTCTCTAATTGATTTCCATTTACTAGGTCCAAAATTCAGTTACTTTAGAACCTCTATTGTTTACTCAATCTTCCTCTTCTTTTTGCCATTACTAATCACTGTTTAGTGCTGGACGGCAGTAACTTCTTACTCTTTGATCAGTGAGAGTGAGTGCTCAGTTCATCTCAAAAAAGAGAAAGAAACAAAAAAAAAAGATAAAACTTATTAGCTTTAAATGTTCCACTGATAACACAATTGAGTGTGTTTGTGCGAGCTCTAAGAAACACCAATCAAAGAATATTAGTTATAAAATTGTGAGCTGTTTCAGTTCTATTTGATGATGGTTCTTCCATATATATAAAATAATTTCTCATCTAGAAATAATACAGAGACCTTTCCCAACACAGTTAGGTTATGTCTGAATAATGCTTTTTGAGCAATCCTGTGAATAACACCATCTCTCAGCAATATTGTCCAAGCAGTATAATATTGAGACCAACTAATTGTTACTTTATTGCATTTCTGCACCTATTCACTTAAGTCTTTATTCAAAAAAGATAAAACCAAAAAAAAAAAAAAAAAAAGTGTAAGTCAAACTGTATGCTGCCACCACTTCTCAAAGTCATGAGAACCTCTTGAGGTGTGTTTTACGCGAGCGATGTGCAGACTCTCTCTCCGATGATTTCTCAATTAAAGCGTGTGTTCTGCAAACATGCTCCAATGAGATAAATAATAGTAACTTCTAAATTAACCCTAACAGGCAGCTCCACATGGCCCCACATGATAAGACACAGCTCCTCCATGCCATGAAGAATGGTGAGTGCCAAAAAAATTCCTTGCGTGTCGTAAATTAGTCTTTAAAGAGTGTGATACTTATAGAATCAGGACCAAAATAGAAGAATCCCAGCATATTGATAAGGCACCTTAGCTAGTTATGACTAAGTAATGATGACAAGCATGCTTGACCCGTGAAGCTGGAAGATACAAACCACCAAGGAATTAACACCCCATAAGGATATTAACTTCTAAACGAACCTGTTACATAGAGTGTTGAATTCATAAATGAGTTCATACTTAACTGTCCAAGCATCCAGTAGCTGCGCTTTGAAAGCTTTAAATCTATCTCTTCTTCAACAATGGCATAAAATAACACACTTACTAACATCTAACTCTTTCCAACCTAAAAATTTTGAATGAAGTGTCAACCTTTCTCAGAATTACAATACCCAATATCCTTTTTACATTACAGATCTCTCTCAATGCGAGAAAATTTTACTCTCAGTTATATTCTAAGCATGCCAAAATTTTGAAAAAGATTGCTGGAGAAACAAAAAAAAAAAAAAAAAAAAGAGTCAACTTATGCTGCACACCAAAGTCATTTGAGAACTATTGAGGTTTACGCAATGTGCAATGATTCCTATGATTTTCTCAATTAAGGTGCAACATGCTCCAATTGAGATAATTGGAAACTTCTAAAAACCTAACAGCAGCTATGTGCCCCACATGTGCCACAGCCATGCCAGAGAATGGGTGAGCCAAAAGTTAATTCCTTGTCGAATTAGTCTTAAGATATGACTATAGAATCAGGACAAAATAGAAGAATCCCAGCATATGATAAGGCACTTAGCTAGTTATGACTAAGTAATGATGACAAGCATGCTGACCCTGAAGCTGGAATGATACAACCACCAAAGGAATAAAAGCCCATAAGATATTAACTTCTAAACGAACCTGTTACAGAATTTAATTCATAAATGAGTTCATACTTACTGTTCAAGCATCCAGTAGCTGCGCCTTTGAAAGCTCTCATTCTCTTCTCCATGGGCATAATAACAATGTAATACATCAACACTTCCAACCTAAAATTGCTTGAAGAATGTCACCTTTCAGAATTACATAAATATCTTTTTCACATACAGATCTCCAATCAAGAAATTAGAGCTCATATATCTAAGCAGCCAAATTGAAAAGATGCTGGAGAAAACCTGTGCTTCCCCTAATCACACACGCATACTAGAAACTTGCAAAAGAGTTACCTTCAGCTTCTCATGAGCTTCCTTTACAGTCTTTCCATCCTTTTTTTTCCTCCAATTATGTCCATCCTTTCTAAAGTACCTCAAAACCTTTCGATCAAAAAGAAAAAGAGAACCACCTAGCATAGTAGAAAAAGTGAAAATTTCAGCAGCAAATAAAATTATGATATATGAGATAAATGTTAAAATGTCGTAGCATAAGAAAGCCATATAACAAATATAGGTGTACACACATAACCATACATGCATGTAACAAGACACGAAGTTAATACACGAATGGGATAAGTGGAAAGAGATAAATATGTAACAAATGCCCAAAACATTGAAAATTATATTAGTAGTCCATCACAACTGATAATATGTTCTCAGTGCAATGATCTAAAGTCCTATAAGAATAACAAGTTAAAATTTGTCTCAGAAAAAATATACAAAGGAAATTAATTTATATACATACCTAATAATAACGATGCATACACATACAGACATATATGAGGGTGCCATATTACAAAGGAGCAAACAACTTACAAACAGTTCAAGCAACAGTTTCTATTATCTACTTAACTTCAATTGGCCTACAATTGCATTGCAATAAAAGCAAAATCCTAATAACCATTTGCACAAAATCTGACAGAGTTGTCCTTTCAAAGATGCAAAAAATCTGGTTTAGAAAACATATGAAACAATTAAATCTATCAAAATCAAACTTCAACATGCAACAACTCCACATTTGACAAACATATCCATTTGAATTCCATAGTATTGAAAGTCAATTAACAGGCAACAGCTAAATCAAAATAATAAAACTATGAAGTAAAGTAGACATATAATCCCACCGTAGGTTCGTAGAAGCAGTACTACAAAAAGTAACACAAATCTTCCAGAGAAATCCAATATGCCAAGAAATCATTTCATATTAGTGCTCCATGACTTCATGAGCGTTAATGTCAATTTTCATGTAGTTTTATATATCATTTTTGTTTGGAGACCAGATGAGTCAATTTATTGATGCCACAACATCAAATGCCACGACTTAAGATAAAGCAAGAGGAAGATCCAATTGTAAACAGCAGAAAGTGGTAATGAAGCATTAATAATTTTGTAAGTCTTAAATATAGTGGCAATGATGTATTAACAATTTTATGAGTGTTAACAATTTTCCATTCCATCAAACCTCAAATATAAATTCCACATATATCCTAGAATTTCAATAACAGTAATGACCACGCCTTCAAAAGAACTAGAAAAAGAACTCAAAAGAACTCCCTTGCAATCTCAAATAAGGCACTCAAAAGAACTAGAAAAAATTATAGCATATGATCCAACAGTTACATGAGTTTCAGCAATCATACTAGGTGGCCTGTTTGGAGGCTCTGATTCAATATGGAACTTCTGATAATTACGAAGAATTTCACAAATCTCAGCAGGCCGCAACCATCGATGTTGTGCTTCTATAAATAATTGTTGAATATCTGCACATTAAAAGCACTAATCATCGATCAATGAAAAATGCCATGTAAGTAATGGTAAAAGGTTAGCTTTCACAACTTTAGCAATGGAGGGGAAATGATCAAAGTAGGCTAGCTTAGATAGCATAGAGATCCCACAAAGCATGCGTGATGATACAAAGTAAGGGAAGGAATAGAGAAGGATGTCAGCCATTGCATTTAGGTAAAGATGGATGAAGTGGTAAAGCATGGAAGGAGTCCAAAATACCAGCTCAGTTAAAGGAAACTTTATAGAACAGCAATCCAACCAGCAAGTGCTGGGTGATAATGAAACAATACATACACAAAATCAGCATGACAAACTAAGGATGCTAAACGGATGTGTAAACATACACGAATGGACAAAAAAAGAATGAAAACATCAACATCAAAACAGAAGTATAGCCTATTGAGAAATTGTCAACAGAATGTAGATTGAGGTGGTTTTGTAAACTAGCAGATGCCTCAGTATTGAAGGTACGCACACTGAAGTGGTAGGAGACAGGAAGGCGTAAGATGAAATGGAGGGAACTAGTGAAAGAAAATTTAGCAATCTAGAGGTTTTTTAAAGATGTAGCCACCTACCAGGTGGAATGAAGAAAATAAATTCATATAACCAACCCAACAAGTTTGGGATTAAGGGTTAGTCAAGTATAAGTTCAAACAAAAATGCGAACCATGTTGGAAGCAAAATGTAAGGGAAGTCAAAAAAAGAAAAATTATTGAAACAATTATGCAAACCACACCTGTCAATTACTTAAAGATCAAGGCCAAAATTTCACATTGTTCATCTATTTATTGTATCTTTGTCTTGACTTTTAAGGCTTTTGTCAACTATAATTAACAAGAAAGCAGGAAACTGCAAGTCAGGACAAACATGGTGGTGATTCCTAGCATCTCAGCTTCCTCAACAATAATTAGAACTGCAAATTCTCTGTTCAATGTCTAATAGAACTAGGGCAAGATGACAAATCATTATCATTATACATGTCGTTGCTGCTCAGGGGAAAAAAATGAAAAGTATCTCATTTTCAGCCTTGAAGATTAACTTCAGCCACATTGCATTAGAATCATCAACTGGCTTTTGCAAAAGCAAACCTAGTAGTGACTTGATTGAAATATTGATATGGTCCTGTACTAACCAATCCAAGACAAACAACTAGTCGGGGCAAAACTATGTTGACACTGCCACCTTCACCAAAAGACAAGAATAATGCTATTATTTCTTCAATAATCCTCAACCCCAATTTAATTCCCTTCCCAATCTTACAATAACCACCAATTCTTGTCACTCAAGTCCTGCCCCAGACATCCAAAGGAAAGCAAACAAAAAACAGTAGTATAGATTTTCAATTGAACACAGTCCAAGTTAAATGGTTGATGATTTTTACTTCAAGCAAGCAAGTGCAACTCACACATAACTAAAAAGTGATATTTCATTCATTACTTAGGTCAGCAGCACAATTATCTATATTTTCATTGACTAATTAAATAATTACTATACTTGAGTTTCATTTTTTCTCAAAGAAAATAAAAAAGGAAAATACTATCTACTTTCCACGGAACCAAACATGCAAAGGAAACGAACCCTTCATTCTATCATTTAACTATAAAAATAACACACAACCCCGATGCTTCAAAGCAAAAAACTAAACAGATCCAAATCTACACGAAACAGAAAACTAAACTATTGTAATAATAATAATAAACAATTAAAAAATGAAAGGGACTTAGAAATGAATTCTGACCTAATCGAGGACCCAGACCGTACGATCCACGATCAGCCATAAGAGAACAGAAACCGAATCAGAAATCAATTTGATTGATCTATCGATTATACAAACTCAAAGAACTTGAGATTTGGGGCAGAGATATTTTTGGGGTCGCCTTCTTTGAACGATGAGAGTCAGAGAAGAAAATTTAAGACTATGATTTATTTTATTTATTTAATTATTTATTTATTTTACAATTTATGATTAATTGCTTTTTGAGTTTGTCTGGGGCAAGTGTGAACTCGGAAAGTAAGAAGCAGGAACAGAAGAAAGGTAGGACTGTAGGAGGAAAGGACTGACGTTGATTGATGAAAGCAGTGGGGCCTTGTAAACCTATTTAAGCCTATCATTTTATGCCATCTGGAAATCTGACTGGAAGAGATGAAAAGTTTCATACGCGGTTTTTTTCACTTTATTTAAGAAATTAATTAAATAAAAATTTAATTTAATCTTATTAAGTATTGACTCGTCGTGCATTTTGGGCAAATATTATTTTATTAAAATTAATTAGTCATGTTTACGCAGCGTCAATTGTATAATCGATTTAATGGATAATCTTTTCAGAAGATTATTATGACTTATTTTTGTGCTGATTTAATTTAAATAAATTTATTCATGTATTTTGATTAAATGATGAAAACTGAAATCATATGCTAATATATATTATTATAATAAATTATTATAATTTAACTGATGAAATTATTTATATTTTTTTTAAATTCTAATATATTAAATTGAAATGTTTATAAATATTTTAATTAAATGGTATTGTAATATAATACATTTTAATTTCATTAATAACCACATTATTGTAACTCCATTATTTAATTAACATTTATTAACTATAACTCCATTAGATTTCATTAGATTGTAATTTTATTGTTTGCTAAAAAAACTAATGTTTATGAAATATTAACTCTGCTATTTAATAAAAAAATTTAATGTATATTAAATGAAAAATATTAATTGGAATGAAAAAAAAAATGATAAAATGCTGTTGTCATATCAGCATTCATGTTTTAGAAGTCATATAATTTTATAAATATAGATATATAGAGAGATATAAATATAAATATATAGGTTAATAAAGTGATATAAATATTTTTAATTCTTAAGTTCCATTTATATTTAAACTAGCAGTAGTCTTTAAATTTAAATGTAAATTTAAATAGGTATGACAATGAGTAGAGTTCGAGTTGGGTAATACCCAAACTCAATCCTATCATCAATCGTTCGTACCTTACGCAATACTCTATTAAGTAGGAAATATTGAGTCGATCCACGGGTATCCATTACCCGTGGGCACCCATGGATATCTTGTACTATGGATATCTTTTACTACGAATACCCATTTACCCATGAATTCATATTTCTAAAAAGTACATAATATTGAATTAAAAAATTAAAATATTTTATCTAAATGATTTATATAATACATAAAAAATATGAAAATAAATTAATATATAAATAAATATTTCAATAATTATAAATTAAAATTTTAATTTCAAAATTCTTGATATCATAATACTTCACTCAAATATAATGGTAGCATACTCTCTCCAAATGTAATTATAACAAAAATAAATTAATAGAATAACTAAAACACTCACATAACAAAATCATTAAAGGTAAAATGTTATTGTATGAGCACTCCAAATCATTAGTATCATTATGATTTTTCTCCATTATTTAAAATTAAAGTTTAAATCAAATATTAGAAATTACATTTTAAATTTCAAAATCTAAAATTTTAAAAATTTGACCAATTCAAATTAATATATAAAAAATAGAGTGAAATTATTTTACACTACGCTACATTAAATTAAAAGTAAAATTATGATTTATATAGATAATTTATTACAAGTAACTCAATTTATTAAAATTTTCATAGTATAATTTTTAAAAAATAATAAACTTTTAGATTTATGGGTTTGAAGTTCGGGTTACAAAATCGAATTTGAGTTTATAACAGCAATATCCACAACAAAATAAAACTTTTGGTTTTTACTCATACCCTACCAAAACCTAGTTAGAATCCTAAAATTTGGTTTAATTAGGTTTGAATTGGGTGCATACCCATGGGGTCGAGTTGATTTTGCCATCCCTAGTGCCTTGAGCAATAGTTCCCCAAAAAGAAAATTTTAAATAAATGCATACTCCATGATATATGATAATGCAGTACGCTCCATCTCATATCATACACTTAAAGTAACAAAATGGATATGGTTTGTATCTTTTTGTTTTGATTTTTTCTATGAATAAAATAAAATATCATTGTCAACATACAATAAACATAATTTACCTTCTCTTCCTTTAAATTGTTCTAGAAAAATATGGATTGCATGTAAGATCTCAAGCCTAGTAAGATATTGTCCGCTTGTTTATTTCAACCTAATAAAATAGTGCTTTTATTCCTTTTTCTCTCTACTTTGATTAAAAAAATGCATAAAAAGTTCATTTCATGGGCGTAATTTTAGTTCCCTGTACAATTCTTATAATTCTCTTCAAACGACAGCGCACAACTTAAAATATTGTGCTCATTTTAAACTCTAACTCAATGATTTTCAATTTTAACTAAATATTCAAGAATTGAAAATCACATCATAATTATATAAGGAAAATAATAAAGATATGCTTGTAAAAAAAGATTAAGTCTGATTATGTAGGTATTAAACTTCACTGCAAAACTGTATAAGTAATGATCATTCAAAAATTTGGTGTGTATGTTTTATTCATCCCAGACAATACAAAATTAATATACAATACACATATGTAGGGTGTATATTGCCTTAAATCATTGTTTCTTCTCAAAATTTTTACTCATAATTTGATACTTTTGATTTTGAGTTATTAATTAACTTTATTGGATGAAGAAAGCATGACATATAATTGCGTTTAAGTGAAGAAGGTGTAGTTAATGCAATGTTGAGGGCAAATTAAGAAAAAAAATTATTTTCTTTAATTCTTATGCAAAACCACTTTTGTCCAAATAAATAAAATGGAGAGAGCATCCATTTTAAATTATAATGATGTTTGTTAAATCTAGAGAATTAAATTCAAAACATTTAAAGAAGGTAGAAGGTGAAGAATCATAATCATGATTAATAAATGTTAAAAATTAAATTTCAAACGTTTAACAAAAATAAGAAGGTTAACAACAATTATGAAAAGAGAATAATTAAATTTCAAAGGTTAACCGTATCAAATTTATTAGTTAACTAGGAAACATTATAAAAAAATGCGCCCTTTAGCAAATTTGTTGCTATTTAGCGGCAGGTTATCGATAGCCTGCAACGAAAATTAATCATTGAAAAAAAATGAGACAGTAACTTGGTGATCGATAAGAGGCCAATAACAATTGATTAGTTGCCAATTGCTAAATATGGCACCAAATTATGGCAGAAAAGTACTGATTGTATAACAACGTCTTAGCAACATATTTAGCGATTGCCTGCTTGTTGGTCGCTAAGTTTTAGTGATAAATATTAGTGGATTTTGGATTTTTGATTTGCGACTGAATCAACGGCCGATGTTTTTTGTTCCAAATTAAAATTGGCTATCAAATTTAATATTTTAGTGACCGATTTCGTCGATCCTTAATTTTTAGGGCTCTTTAGTCACTCCTTCTCCCTCGCATGAACATTTTCATCCTGCTCCCTCTTCCCTCCTCTTTTTTCTTCTCTCTCTCTCTCTCTCTCTCTCTCTCTCTCTCCGCTTGTGGCCTGTCCTCCTCCGAAATCCACTAGCTCAGTCAAGCCTCGGTGCAACATGGACTCTTTTGGGTTCAAGTAAGTTTTCCTTTTTCTTATATATGTGTGTGTGTGTGTGTGTGTGTGTGTGTGTGTGTATGTGTCTGTGACATCCTATTGAATCGAGTCATTGCATAGAGTCGAGTCGGGTCGAACCAGAATCCGGTTCGAGCCATTAGAATCCAAAGTGGGTCCGAGTTTCCGATTGCCATTGATATCCAATAGATGGGAGTTAGGAGGATGGTGATATTTAAAATTAGATCTTTAAAAATTGGACCTTAATATTGAAATCGAAATCATGAAAGATAAATGTATATAGGATTATGACCTAATATGAAATTAAATAATAAAGTTTATGATATTAAATTAGTTAAGATATTAATTGAAATTTTAGGTGTCTATTCTGAGAATTTTTTTTCAACATACAATCAAGATAGAACTATTATAGAGGTTGACCCTGAAAATTCCATTCTACTTATTCACCTTTTCCATCTCCTCCTAAATCTTCCCATCCATTTTCTATTACCATAATATTTCAAACCTTCAAAAGCAGTTAAATTTCACATATTAAACTCATCCAAGTAAGTTTGAATTTCTATGGAATTTATAATTTAGTGATAAATTTTGGAATGATTGATATAAAAGGTATAGTAATAACAGGAGGTAGAACTTCAAATTAGAAGAAAAGAGAAGCTAGAAGAAGTTTAGAGCTTTATTGGTATGTTAAGGTCTTGACGTATCTCTATATTAGTATTAACATAATTTTTCTTGCAATGATAACAAATTTTCTTGCATGAGAATATGTGTCGTGTGATGATAGTGATAAGATATGTTGCTGCGTGTTGAGTAATAGGTCTGAGAATGTTGATAAAGCATGGGAGGCATTGAATAAATGAATTGGATATTGATTTCATGCTGAAATAAGTTTGTGGGAAAACTGACCAGTAATTTCAACATGAATTTAAACCTATTTACCGATGGAATTAGGAAGTGTTATACAAGAGTTATTTGTTCCTTTATGTTTTAGATGTCTATGAGCTTTGGATTTACCTAAATTGGACTTATAAATTGAAAGATATGACCAAAATAGTGCAAACTGTGCAGGCTGAAAACTAAAAATCTGGGTGGACTGGAAGTTGCTACTTTAGCTCAATATTTGACTACTTTACCAATATATTTAAGAGATGTGATAGAAGACAAATTTGGACCCTAATGTGATATCTAACCATAGAATTTATAATTACCTACATTGGACTTATAAATTGAAAGATATGACCAAAATGATACAAACTATACAGGCTTGAAACCAAAAGCTAGACAGCTTCAAAGTTGCTACCTTAGCTCAATATTTGACTACTTTACCAACATGTTTAAGAGATGTGATAGAAGACATATTTGGACCCCAATGTGTTAGCTAACCATAGAATGTAGAATTACCTAAATTGGACTTATAAATTGAAAGATATGACC